CGGCTGGTTCAGGAGACACCTGGAGTGCTTTAGCGCGGTAAGGCCCACTGGAAGGATCGCATCAGGCGTCAACACGCCATGCAGCCGGTATTCATCGTCGCCCCAGCTGTACGACATCTCGATCTGCGGCTCCGCACCTGCAGTCTCCGCCGGGCCGGGCTGAGTGCCTCTCGTGCCCGATCTACCATGCAAGGCCGCTCCTGCACCACCCCCGGAACCTCCGGAAGACGCTGCTGCGTTCAGCGCCCAGACCTGCTGATCCCCCGACTCAGCCGCGAGGTGCGCGATGCGGATCAGCAATTCCAACGCCGCGGCCGGATGCACTAGCGGCGCCGGGTTGGCAGGGTCGACAACTCGCATGGCGCATAGCAGCACATCCTCAGCGTCAAAAATGGGAAAGCGGGAGCCTTCTGAGCCGGCGTCTTGCCCGACGATTCTGCTCGAAAGGCCCCACAGCAGGTCATCCGGCAAGCCGTACTCCACGTCATCATCCACATCACACAGGGCTGCCACGCAGTGTGCTAGCAGTGCGTACTGCACGCAGCGGCCGGACAGCACCTCACGAAGCTGCTGTGCGGCTTCACCCTCGGGTACGGCAGCTCCAACTGCTCCAACACGAAAGGGTCGTCGCTCATCCGAGAGGGCGTCGCTTAGCGCTGCGGCGTTGCTGCATGCGTCGATGAAGTGCTGCGAGGCTGACTTGAAGGTGTCCTGAGCTTCCGTATGGGGTGTTCGCTGCACCATACATAGCAGCAGCCTCGCCTCATGCTCCAACACGTAGCTGCTGCGAAGGGTGGAGGCTAGCTGGAGAGCGTACTCTGCGTCCATGACCTGCCCCTGCCCCTGCCCCTGCCCCTGCCCCTGCAGCTGCGGTTGTGGTTGTGGTTGTGGTTGCTGCCGCGCTGGCTGCTGGCTGCAGGAAAGGGCTTCCTGGCCTGCTGCTGGGGAGGACTGGGAAGGCCTCACTGCACAGCGGATGAGCCCACGGACGAGCATGAACGCCGTGAAAGAGTAGGCAAGGGCGAAGCCGCGATTAAGCAGGACTTCCGAATGTTGCTGCTGCGGCTGCTGAGGTGCGTTGTTGGCCGGCGGTGTCCCGGCGGGCTCCGCAAACAGCGCTGTAGCTGCAGCCAGCTGGCGGCTGAGCGCCTTCAAGGTATCCATTCGTAGCAGCTTGAGGCAAAAGTCCAACTCGGCAGGTGACGGGAGCTCCGCCAGCTGCTGGGCAAGCTGTCCCCAATTCAGCAGCATTCCAGCCAGCCCGATGGCCGCTGTAAACGCATGATAACCGCCCATGGCCAGCTGATCATCTAGCGTCAGCCGTACTCCAGCTGCTACCAGGCGCAGTAACGCGATGCGGACTGCTTCGTCGGCTAAGACAGCGGTGGCGATTGCTACAGGACCGCTACTGGCGCCGTCCTGCTGCTTGTTTGACGTCGGGAGATCCTTTTGCGGGAGGTGGGCATGCGTTGCTGTCAACAACTCGGTAACATCGTTGAAGAGCTCGGCGAGTGTTGGTTTGGGAGCGGGCGGGCGGCGGTTCAGGGCGGAGAGCAGCCTCTCCGTTGCATTGGGCAGCCGACGCAAGCAGGTTCTGATGGAAGCTGGTAGGTGGCTTGCTGCCTCGCTGGTGCTCCCCACACCTAGCCTGTTGTCGATCAGGCTGCTGCTACTGCTGCTGCCATCTCTTACCCTAGCCCCTTGGCCGTCGCGACCTGAAGGCTGGCGCCTGGGCATTGTTGCCTTGCTTAGCTCAGCGGTGCGTTGCCTAGTGGTGAGTCGGAGTTAACGTGGAAAACAACGTCGGTATGCGGAAAGCTGAGTAGATCATCTACTGAAGTAAAAATATATCTGCGTGGTGTAGACACAGAAGCTGGCAGATTCCCTCACCAGACTTTGGAGTCCCCTTGGACGAGCCGAGATTACCGATGACGGTTGCCGACAGGCTGTGACACGACAGACGCCGGTAAATGAACAGCACCACTGATAAGCAGGATGCGCAAACTCAAGCTGTTCTTGTTAGTGATTGGCATTTACTTCGCTGACCACGACAAGAATCTCAGACTACTAACCACCGGTAACCGGTCAAGCGGGCCTGGGAGGTATCCAATCCAAGATCTACAAACAGTATTAGGTTTGAGAACTACTCTCCGTGACCTCCTGCACTCTGACGTCCTATTCCATACAATTCATCATTATGGTAACATCAGGCACCGGCACTGATACGGCTGTAGCCTGATCGTCCAGTTTATTTCAACGCAAGCGAATAACGGTAGGCGCGTATGCCTCGTTGCGCACCCACAGGCTACAGCGCCAGAAGCGTACTCTTTAGGAAGCGGAAGTTACACTGGAGGACAGTTGCTGAGACCATCGTCAGACGTACATTCTAACAGGGCGTCGACCGCCCTACCCCAGGGGGCACGCCGTGCACAAGGCAGGGAACCATGCCCAACAGATACAGGGACAGGCAACTAGGTCCCAGAGAAACAACACAGAGAGGCTGCCAAACCAGCTCCCGATAGTCCGACATGCAGGCACTGCCAACCCAGCACCTGGAACAGGGGCCGGCAACCAGGGTCCCAGAGAAATGCGACACACAGATGCTGCCAAACCAGCACCAGAGAGATCGCGGCCCGCGACCACAGAAGCCGAAAAGAAACTGTCACGGAGAAGACTGCAGCAAGCCACCAAGGCATACCAAGCGACATCTGCGCATCAGGCCGTCCAAACAGCGGCACGCCGACAGCCACCCAGCAACGCCAGACCCTAAGCCTGCTGACTTCGCACAAAGGCGAAAGCCCTCCTGAAAGAACGCAAGCGCGATACCAACGGCTCCCAGTGCCACTGGGGGAAGACCTTTGCACTCAAAGGTTTCCTGACGCCCGTTAGGAGGAATAGCGTCAATGTACGGCAGAGCTCATAAACATTTGGCGACATTAAGGCGCCTGGCACGTAACACGCGGATGCGTTGGGAACGGAAGCTGATCATCGATGTTAAGGGCGAAACCGCAACGCGGAAGGATGCAGGAAGACGGAGAGACCGTACTAAGTGCAGATTGGACGGAGGAATACGGAGGGACCGCAATTGTGTGAGACGCCGCTGTGTTGTGAACGGGCCGCAGCGACTAAAAACGCATGAAGAAATCGGCGGTGAAGAACATCATCTAATTGTGCTTATTAGGAAAAGAGGCAACGCGACAAGTGCAAAGCGGCTATACAACCAACTGTAGCCTCAGCCCCCTGACCTCTTTTCCAACATCTTCTACCCAGATTCCTAAGCGGTACCTGTTCATTTCTTAGCAATCCATACTGGGCTAAAGCAAGAGAAGGCTGTGCTAGGTGTGCGGCACATAGTAACGGTCGATGTATGAACTGTAGCCTGCGGCTGTCCTTTTTTACTTTTTGTGTCTGTGACACTCTACCGCCTCCCATCCCCTTTGCTTTGCCCTTACTGTGGTTTCCTATGAGTTGGTATGTTGTTAATTCCCCATCCGCTACCCGCCTGCCCTCTCACAAACCCTTTCCCAGAGTAGAAATGTTTACGGAAAAAATAGCCCACCAACGAATATTGAGGTAGAAGTGTGATGAATGGCGCTCATGTGACCAGACCAGGAGGCGCCTCATCATCTTTAGTCATCCAATGTACCCCACCTCCCTTCCCCCCCGCCCAATCCGCGCTGTGCGTGGGAGGCCGTGCAGACCAGCCCCTCCCCTAACCGTAGGTGGCAGCACGATGACTTGATGCCTTTTCGGGTGTACTAGAAGCACGGGGACGGTGAAAAATGAGGCCCTTCCCCTACCACAGCCATGATGGAGACCCCCATGCCCCCAAACCGGTACCCTTCCTAGTAGTGCAAATGCCCCCGCTAGCCGGTGAGCTAGTATAGCTGACATGGCGACCCAACCGTAGGTGGCAGTACCCCTCGCTCTACCCAACGCTAATCCTCACTAATTTTATTGCAACCAGCCACCACATATCCCCTTTGTGTTGCCCTTACTAAAACATCCTATGATTTGGGATATCCTTAAATCCCCCCCGCTACCCGCCTGCACTCCCCTAACCCTCCCAAGAGTAGTAATTATCAAGAAAAAAATGAAATATCTCACCCGTCCAGGTACCTCACCATCTTCCGGCTCAACAAAAACCCTAGCCATCCAGTGTCCCCCACCCCCCTCCCCCTCCCCCGGCCCCCTAGCCCACCAATGAATATTGACCTCAAAGTGCGGTGGTGCCGTCCATGTGACCAGACCAGGAGGCGCCAAATCATAATCCGGCTCACCAATAACCATAGCCATCCAACGTCCACCATACCCCTTCCCCCCCGCCCAATCCGTCAGTCTTCCTTAATTTTACTATCCCCCGCCCAATCCGCGCTGTGCGTGAGAGGCCGTGCAGGCCAGCCCCCCACCCCCTAACCGTAGGTGGCAGCACGATTACGTGACGCGTTTTAGGGTATACAAGAAGCACGGGAGGGTGAAAGGAAAGTGAGGCCCCTTCCCCTGCCACAGCCATGATGAGGACCCCTGTACCCCCAAACCGGTACCCTTCCTTGGCGTTCATGTTACCCGTCCAGGTGCCTCACCTCCGGCTCACCAATAACCATAGCCGTCCAGTGTCCCCCACCCCCCTCCGCCCCCCCCCCTAGCGACCCGGTTTGTTCCGTTTCTTTTGCAATGTAGGGTTGGGTTCATCACCCGTGTTCCCTTTTAGGGCACCATTGTAACGGTCATACATTCATTTATTCCCCCACCACCACTACCTGCGCTGTGCTCGAGCGGCCATGCAAGCCACGAGGCCCCCCTTGCCCCCGAAACGGTACCCTTCCCAGAAGTGCAAGTCCCCCACCTAGCCGTTACTTGCTCCCCATGCCGTGTGCCGTGGGCTAGCATAGCTGGCAAGGCATGCGCAAGCGCCCTTCTTTTCCTATCGTCATCATTGACTGCCACGTACTATGTGCTTTTACGTTTGCTTTACACCAAACCATGACTTGCTGCAAGAGCCCGTGTCGTTGCTGTACAATACAGCTGAACAATGCACCTCAAGTTACCTAAGAAAAGAATAACGGGCCAAGGGCTAAGTTTTAACAATCCGTTTACAAGTGCCCGTGGCATTTGTCATAGCTTACTAAAGTTGTCAGTGCCAGGATAGGAAACAACCGCACGTTGCACACGCTTCCGACCTTCTAAGCCTATCATTCATGAAGAAATCCTGCAATTCCTAAACGTAGCACTTACAGGTGATCTGTTCGTTCCTATGACTCCGTCTCTCCTACAACCAAGTTGGCCCGTGCAGGAGCCCAGGAGTTACTATCGGTACCCACGTTCACAGATTCCCACGTACAAGTTGCACCCCGCATCCCGCAGCCTAAACGGCGGCTGATACTACACCTTGGACGCCACTTGGCACATGTCAAGGCAATGCATCCCCCCTCACGGGGTTTAACGCCCCTGCGTTCCGCTTGCGGCTTCACATGCGTTGGATTCCTCCTCCTCAGGCAGCTGTCGTACGTCGCTCCATGGCCCCCAGCACAGCCCTCGCCAGGTCCAGCAGCAAGTCCGAGTGCTGCTGCGGGGGCTGCGGGGCTTCCTGCTGCTGGGGCTGAGGCTGGGGCTGCTGCTGCTGGGGCTCCATGACCGACTGCGGTGACCCCTGTTGTCGGCGGCGCTGCTGCTGCTGCTGCTTGGGTGAGGACCGCTGCTTGGAAGACGAGGTGTGCTGCGCGGTGCTGCTGTCGGCAGCTGCCCGCCGCTTTGGTGCGGGGGATGGCGACGATGCGGGCTCCGCATCGGGCCCCTCTCCCACTCCACCCTCCACTTCCTCCTCCGGCAGGGTTGTGCCAGTCAAGTTGTGCAGGTACCACCTGTGTCGGGAAGGGCGGGGAAAAGCAGTTGAGCGAAGCAGACTAGCAGAGAACCAACACAACCCCTAACCGGCGCCCCGACCAGCCAGCCATCGAGCCGCCCTCCTCCATACATCGAACCTCATCCCCGCAACCCACTCTGACCCTGCCGTCATGTACCGGTACCCGCTCACCCTCGGGAGTCCTTGCAGCCGCTCCTCCCACCCCACCTGGTGACCCCGCCAGTGTTTCCTCGTGGCTCATCAGTGCTACTCTACCCACCTGATGTTGGTAACCCGCTCCAGGGCCGCCGCTGCGGAGGGTTCCGCCACCACCAGCGCCGCAAAGCAGCCCAGCGACACCACCGCCGCGTCCTGAGGGGGCAGCACGCCACCACCACCGGCAGCAGCAGCAGCAGCAGACGTAGCAGCAGTAGCAGCGGCCCCGCCTCTGCCCTCACAGTTGCTGCTGCATGCGAGGTCTAGCCAGGTCACCAGCTCCTGGGTGTGATACGGGAGACGGAGCAGATGGTAAGGAAGGACGCCAGGGTTAACAAAAAGTTATCCAAATGATTGTTTACGCACAGCTGGTCTGCCGGTCAAGGCAAGGCTTACGTGAGGAAGCGAGTGCAAAAAGGTACCGGTACCCCAGGATGCCACGCATGTGTGGGCATAGGGGCTTGTCGCCCGCAACCCTCACCTGCAACAGGGCCAGCACCTCCGCCCGATGCCGCTCCCGTGCCTCAGGGCTAGCGCCGCATGCTTCTTCCTCAACCTCCTCCTCCTCCTCCCGAGTACCCCCGTGCTGCTCCCCCTGCCGCCTCTCATCATATCCAGCTCCACTGCCTTCTTCCTCGCCAGCTACCGCCCTTGCAGCTGCCTCACCACCACCGCCACCACCACCGTTAACGTCATGCCGTACGGCAGCTGCTGGGTTCTTCCGCGGAGGAAGCGGAGCATGTGGGGGCGGGGACGTCAGCTGCAACAGCCCCGGCCAGCACAGCACGTCTGCCAGCATGGCGCTCAGCGCAGCCAGAGGGTCGGCGTACGGCAGAGGCTCCAGGTAGGGGGATTCGTACTCGCCGGATCTCAGTACGGCAGCCACGTCGTTGAGGACGCGACGGGCGAAGCCTGGAGGAGGAGGATATGATATGGGCTTAGCAGCTGCAGCGGCGCTAGCGGAAACCCAATGGCATGCTCTGCCATTGACATTCAAGACAGAAGCGAGTACACTGCGCCAGTACAGTCGCGCATAAGCCAGCCATTCATGAGATCATGACAGCCCGCCCACAGCCCCCTGTAAAGCAGTGCTAGCCAACTAGCCGCGTACCTGCCGTCACCAGCGCCCATTGCCCCCCAGGGCAGCTCCTCGCCAGTGTTCCCGCCACCCGAGCCGCCCGGCGCTTCGCGGCAATCTGCGCTATCACGACGGAACCGCCGTTACCAGGCCTCCCGCCACCACCACCACCACCACCACCGCCACCACCACCGCCACAACCGCCCAGGGCTGTGCCGTACATGCAAGCTGCGCTGTCGTACATTCGACACAACCACCTAGCAGCACAGTTGAGGAAGGTCTGCCGACGACGTAACGCTGCCGGAAGCTGCGGTGGCGGGTGTTGCATGCCGGCCAGCTGTTGCTGCTGCTGTTGCAGCCGCTGTTGGGCTTCGGAGGCATCCGCAGCTGCGGCCGTGGACGCTGCGGATGCACCTGACGACGCCGTTGGCAGTAGCAGCAGCCCCAGCTTGCAAACGGAGTCATCCACATGGGAGCAATCCATGGTACGGCAGTACGACAGGACGGCCTCAGCGGCAAGGCACTCGACGCCGTCCATCTCTATTGCGACATGATGTTGATGTTGACGATGACTTGTGATGACAGCAGCGGTGCTGGACACAACAAAGCCCCCCTGCTGAGGCCGCTGGCACTGCTTTCCTGGCACGGAGGATGATGCCACTGCTGCTGCACCGCCGCCACAACCAGAGCCGTCACCAGCGTTGAGTATATCCAACAGGGACATCGTGGCGGTCAACCCACCGCAAGCCTCGGCACCCGCACCGCTGTTATCAAGATCAACGCCACCCCCACCAGCGCCCGGGTGCGAAGCCACACAGGCGCTATCCCGCCCTGTAGATGGCGACGGCAGCGGAGGCGCATCCGCAGCCGTACGGACGGAACCACGCCTCTTCGACAGTACGGCATGTACGATCTCATACAACTCCTCCAAAGCCGCCGCCACCGTGGGTGATGACGCTGCCAGTGGTACGGCACAACGTACGACAACACGGGTCCAGATCGGTACTGCCTCATGGGAGGGAGCAGCGGAGGTGGCAGGGCTACCGTCCTCACCGCCGCTTTGGTCCCTGTGAGCAACACCCACGCAGCCGCTACCTCCGCTACCGCTACCGCTGCTGTTGGTGCTGCTGCTGCGGATGCGAGCCCCAATGCAACTCAACAGTGCGGACATGGCGTCCCCAACCGACAACGGTACCTGCTGTTGAATTGTACGATGCTGCTGTGCCATACCGCTAGCTGCACCACCGCTAGTCCCAGCGCCGCTACCCAAGCCAACCAGCGCATGCTCAGCCACAGCGCTCAGAACCTGCATAGCGGCTACCAACCAAGCCTCCACCTCGGCCTCCACCGCCGCCGCCGCCGCAACTGCTGCTGGTGCTGTACCCATACCCGACGCCGGCGATGGCAGCGTCCTGGCACCGGCAGCGGTGGATGTAAGCAGGCTGGTCGCACGCATCACGGCCTGCAACAGCAGCGCCAGCGGCGCGCTGCCCCCACCGGCAGCAGCACCGCCGCCGCCGCCAGCGCTTCCTGAAGCGCTAGGCGTGTAGGCCGACAGCGCACCAAGCGCCGCCGCGGCCGCCAAGGCGTCTGACGCCAGACGCAGAAAGACGCTGCCTCCTCGGCGTCTGCTGGGCTTGCTGGAAGGGTAACCCGCCGCACCCTCCGCATCGTCACCAGCGCCGAGGGTCGCAGCTGCGGCCCCGTTGGGCGGTGCCGGGCCGGCAACACCGCCGGGTCTGAGCAGGTAGGGCTTATCCGCCAGGGCGCAGAAGCAGGTGGTGAGGTGACCCAGCAGCCGCTGCAACCGCACTCGGTGCTGCTGCTGCAACTGCTTCTGGCGCTGCTGTTGGTGCTGCTGCTGGTGCTGTGGAGCCGCAGCCAGGGCCCCTGGTGGTGCCTGCGGCCCCCCTGCAGCGGCTGCTGCCCTCCAACCGCCACCTCCGTCACTACCTTCTCCCTCCGCACCTCCTCCCGCCCCGTCTCCTCCGCCGCTGCCCTCACTGCCAGCCCGCTCCATGCCCAGCAACGCCGGGTTGTTCGCCCGCACCAGCCCTGCAAGCAGCGCCGTACATGCCAACAGGTGCGTGGGCGAGCGCCCGCCCGCGCCCACGGACCCTCCTGCTACACCGCCGAGAGCTCTCCCAAAACCACTAACGGAACCCGCACCAGCTCCGGCAGCACTGGCGGAGGCCGCGGCGGCCGCCGCAGCCCATGCCGCCAGTGCTGACTCCAGCGCCACCGGCAGCTGCGTGGATGCCAGGGCCTCCGCCATGCGCTGCGTGGCGTGTGTGGCGGCGCACAGCCGCTGCCACCACCTGAGCTCCGGATCCAAGAGCACCAGCAGGTCTAGCGCGGAGAGCTCCACCACCCCACCCAGGCCTGAATCCAGATCCATGGGATCCGCTGCTGCTGCTGTGGCTGCGCCGGCATGCGCATGAGCCGCATGGGCCGCTGTTGCATGGGCGGCGGTGCTACGTTGGAAGGAGGGTGAGGTTGAGCTAGCAGCAACAACAGGCACTGCCGGCGCGCCCCGTGCGATGCCCGCCCGCACCACGTCGCACACCGCCCTAGCCGCCAGCGCCGCGTTGTGCAGCGGCAGCGTGTGGAACTCCTGCGCCAGACCGCTCAGCAGCTGGTGCGCTACTCGGGTCAGGTCCACCGCAAAGGGGTCCACCGCTGCAGCTGCCTCCAGCAGCCCCCCGCCCCCGCCGCCGCCACCTCCATGCAGACTACTACTGCCATGGTGAGTGCTGCTGCAGCTGCCGTAACTTCCAGGGAGGGTGGTGCTGCCGCCAGGCAGGCTGTTGCTGCTGTCTGCTGGTGGAAGCATCGTAGCACCCGTCGTAGCCGCCAGCAGCTGCTGCTGCGGCAACTGCACCACCAATGCCGTGAGCGCGGGAGCCAGGGAGTCTAGCAACTCCGCGGCGTGCGGCGGCGAGCTGGCCGCGATGCATGCAACCACCTCTTGCAGCACCGCCAGCAGCAGCTGGTGCTGGCGGGAGGAGGCAGGCTGGGCAGAGGCTGTGGCTGAGGCAGTGGCGGAGCCTGCTGCTGCTGCTGTGTCTTCAACCAGCAGTAGCTCCTCTTCTGTGGAGTTCTCATGTGGCTGGGAGTGGTTGTGAGGGCGGTGCAGGGCAGGGGCAGGCTGTGCATGCGACGGGAGGGCCTCAGGCTCTCCTCCGTTCTGCTGCTGAGGGTGAGGCTGAGGGTGGGGATGCGGATGTTGAGGGTTGGCAGCGGCGGGGGTGGTGTGTGGGTGGGGTGGCGGCAGGCAGGCTAGGCGGCCCAGCGCGTCGCAGAGGTGGTGCCAGTCGTGTCCGAAGCACAGGTCCTCCAGGAGGTGCGGGTCGGATGAGAGCGTCTGCAGGGCGGACAGCGGCGCGTCGCTGCTGGTCTGGGGAGGGAGGGGCAGGGGGGGGTAAGGAAGACGGGAAGGGGAGGGAATGGGTGGGAGAAAGGGAGGAAGCTAGCCGATGAGAGAAAGAAGGGTGTTGAGTCAAGAATTGCAAACAGAATGGCCAGGCGAGGGGAGTGGGCAGGGAATTGCGGAGTTGGAGTAAGGCGCTGTCTGATAAAGCATTGTGGTGGTTGGTGATCTGGACACAGGCAGAGCGCTGTCAGGCGGTAGGGGGTGAGCTGCACAGCTGCAACACCCAGCACTTGCTTGCAGGTTTACTTACAGTACGGTAAACCCGGGTCAAGTTCACGTACAACTCGGTTGGACTCACCAGCTCTGCCAGGAGGCTCTCCACTTCCTCCGGCCCCAGCAAATCCAAGGGGCCGTGCAGGTCAAACAGGAGAGACCGCCGAGCAGGCTCCGTTGGTGCCTGGAACACACGGAGGAGGTGGTTGCAGCGCAGGAACACCTTGCTGCTATGAAGAGCAGCAGGGTGTTAGGAGGGACCACGGCTCTGCAGCAACCGGTTGCTAGGCGTACCTGTGTAGACGGGTCCACAGTCGAAAGCGAGTGTGCAACAGTCTGTACAAACTCTGTTAGCAGGTCACGGTTACGGATGGTGGACAGCGCTGACTCGCGGGCCCTCCTGGTAGCCTCTTCTGGAGGCTCCGAGTCCCCCATCGACAGCTGCACGCGCTCCCCGAGCCATTGGTATAACGCGTTTTGCAGCAGCAAATTGCAGGTTGTACCCTATGGGGCATACATATGAAGTACACTTAGCAACATAAAGATGGACTGGGCGACCAGCTATAAGGGATCCCTCCATGCCAGAGGCAACCCAACAGCTTTACGTTTTCTACATGCGAGCGTCAAGCATCTTCACCTCAATCGGCATAAGAACATAAACATGATGCTGGCTGCCGTGATCCGCCTATCACCTATCTAGTATACTTGTTCGCACCTGCAAGTCCTGACCACTCGCGGCCCGTTCCAGTGCTTCCGCATTATACGGTGCTGTAAGGACGTCACATAGTTCACCTAAGTGCCTGCAGAAGGCCTGTATGGCATCGGCTGGCTGTGTAGAGCCATCCTGAGTGCCTTCCATCCGAATAGGCATTCTAGAACACAGACTCCTGCAGTAAGATTGTACGGTAATGTTCCTATCACTGCAAATAATTTTACAAGGCAGTGTTGATTGACAATACCTCCCGCCGTGGCGGTACGGCGAGCGCACGTGCCGCCCAAACGGACGAAATGGTGGCACCCTGCCGCTGAGAACTCCGTAATGGTACTAAGCCAGCATAGAAAGAGAGAACCAATTGAGGGGTGGTTCAGGGGTAAGCCCTATGTACCTGGAGGTACCGAGATTACCACCCGGTCTGCTGTTAAGTAAGGCTCCGGCGGGCCTCTGCTGTCTGGGCTAGGTATCAGGCGTGCTGAGTTAGGGAGATGTTGTAGGCTCTGGTTGCACTGATTACATAGAAGCACCCTAGGCTTGCAAAAAAAGCGGCAAAACGCAAAAGGGAACAACTTCCCGTACGCGTCAACAACAGGTCAACGTACATACAGGGTAAACCAGAAACAAAATAAACAATGGTATACATTATGTGATCCATGAGCAAAAGTAATAGTTCTCTTGTCGCTTAGTAGGCCGGTTTCTTCGCTGCAACCTTAAGCCATGGCTAGGCGCCAGCTGCAGCGGAACAGTAGCCGGGACCACGCAAGCGCAAGAGGCGAAAGAGGCCCCGGGGAAACAGATTGCCTTCCTGCTCACGTCAGGGCTTGCCTGCGGCGCCTTCCGGCTGCAGTTGAGCGCTTGTTTTCACTCCAGGCCGGTCAGCAGCTGCCACCCGCGCCGACGGCAAGGTTCAAAGAGCTAGATAAATTCATCTTTCAAAACCTTCACCCCGTACTTGAGCTGTTGTCCAACTTGTCTACATCGAATGGAGCTCGTTCCGCGGCCGCTGTCGCAGTGCTGGCCGACAAGGCCGTTCGCCTGGCGATGCTTCAGCTGATTGGAGCTGGCGTGCGGCTTTCGTCTACCGACCTTCACCCCGACCCTGACATCCCGGCTAAATGGCCCCCTACCTCCTTCATTGGAGCCCTCGACCTGCTCTTTAAGATGCTCCGGGCACTGTCAGTGGACAACAGCATAACACAGCCGCCCCCACACATCGTGGATTTTGCTCGCAGGCTAGTGCGCATGCAGACCCTGCAAGCCCTCAGCCGCTCGCTAGCCTCTGCCACGGCGCTTCTCCCAGCCGCCAACCGCCCCACCACCAGCGCCTCGTCTCCTCCACTCCAGCAACCCGCCCAGCAGCGGCAACGCCGCAACCAAGGCAAGACGGGCACCGACGGCACCCAAGTCACGTCATACATCACGCAGGCCGCCGGCGCCTGCCTTGCTGCTGAGCTCCTCCACGGCCTGGTTCAGCTGGCCATCAAGGCCTTCAACAGCATCCGCGGGCAGCCCCCGGAGCACCTGCCGGAGGCCCTCTACTTCAACGAGCTCGTGTCCGCCCTGCGAGACAGCTACGTCATGGAGCACGGCGCCCGACTGATGCTGCTGGCGGGGGAGGCGGAGCTCCCACATGGCCTCCCAAAGACATCTCCCAAGTTGGGCGAGGGGGTGAAGCTCTTCCTAGAGATGATCAACGACCTTGCCCGGATTTGGAGGGTGCTGATGGAACGTGGCGGGCCCTTCTGGGCGCCAACCACCGCGCAGCTCTGCGAGGTGCTGACGCAGCATGGCTTGCAGCACGCGGCTGTCGTACATGGCCTGGCAGCGCTGTGCGAAGCGGACGGCGGAGCCTCGTACGGCATCGCACCTGAGGTACTGCACCGCTTGCACTTCTCGACCTCAGAGTACAGCAGCAGCAATGGCTACCGTCACATTACCTGCACCATTGGCGGCGGCGGCGATGAGGTCAAAGTGCACAATCGACGACCACTTCAGCTAGTGGACGTCTGGGCTCTGCAGGCGCTCCCCCGCCTGTTGGATCCCTCCCTTCGGGTGTCCGTGCCAGGCGCGCGTGCCGCACTGGCTATCATGTGGCGTATGGTGGACTGGGCGGTGGCATCGGGGCGGGTGTGGCAGGCCCAGGCGGCGCTAAGGGCCAAAGCGCTCGACATGCTGCTAGCAGGAGGAGGAGTAGGTGTCAAGGCAGGGGAGGACGACGGAGTCCTGCAAGGCGAGGCGGAGGAGGGTGGTGGAGCTCCGCAGAAGGTGATGCCGCAGGATTTGGTGGCTGTGGCTGCCGTACATGCGCTGCGGTGCGCGCGACGGCTGCTGAGGGGACCTCCGTCGGTTGCCGCTGCGGCGGCTGTGGCGGTGGCGTGTAGGACACTGGCTGCTACGGCTGGTGCAGCTGCGGTGGCTGTAGCAGCTGCCGATGAAGGAGCGTCTGGCGCTCTGGTGGCAGGGGCTTCTGCCGTTGGTGCTTCTGCCTCAGGGGCTGCTGCTGCTGGGCCTTCTGCCGCTGGGGCTGCTGCTGCTGCTGCTGCCACTGAAGCCGCTGTAGCTCGCTGGACGGAGCAGGCGGTGCGGTGGTGGCGGCTGGCGGTGGCAGTGGCGGATCACGTCATTTGTTGTGCTGACACGGACCAGATGGAGCAGGTCACGGAGGTCCTGCGGGAGTCGTTCCTGGAGGGGACGTCGCTGCCCTGGGGGGACACAGGTGCGCGGGAGAGGAGCGGTGGTTGTGGGGGGGAGGGTTGAGGTTGCTGTAACGCACTGGTGGTTTGGGTTTAACAGGGAATACAAGTTGGTGTTAGGTTACTGCATGGGCGTCTGGTGCTGTGAAGCAAGAGGGGCCCTACGCGTCTACGCGCCTTGGTGCTGCAACCTGGGAGCCCTAGGTTCCAAGCAACACGCATTTTCATCCAGTTGAATTATTCGCCTCTTATGTGCCACATAAGGGACACAATTTTATCCTTCCCTCATCTGCTTTTGCACTGCAGAAAAGAAACTTCTGCCCGCTCCACCTCCTGAGGTGGCAACGGCGCTGGCGGGCGGCTTCCTGCCCTGCCTGGAGCGCCTGCTGAGGCGGGCAGGGGAGGACGTTTGTGGCTTGGAGGCTGCAGCTGTGCGCGGGCTCCTTTCCCCAAGCAGCAGGCATTGCCTGGCCTCGCTCCTTACATATGGCGAGGAGAAGCAAGCGGCGGCGCTGGTAGTGACGCTTGGAAAGCTGCTGGGCTGCTGTGACCCAACGGCAATCACGGCACCGGACGTGAACATAATGGCGCCGCACCACACATGCCGCACCTATGCGAAGGCGGCACTGGACTTCCTGAGCTTCTCGCGTGAAGCGCTCGTCGCTGCAGCACCTGTTGCTGCGGCGGCGGCTGGGACCTCGTCAAACGACGCCAGCAGTTCGGCAGCCCCGTACCGGCAGTTGCAGCTGCTGGCATCGTGCGCTGCATGCGAGTGGCTGCCGGTCCTGTCGCGCTTGGTACGGGAGGGCATGGACCATTTGGTCCATTTCGCACACTCGGAGGCCACAGAGGACATGTACGACTACCCAGAGTACGAGAAGGTGGGTATGGCTGCAGAGGTGCTGCTAGCACACCTGCTGCCGTGGCTCCTGGCACTGACGCTAAAGTGCTTGGAGCACGACGATGCTGATGGTGCTGAGAGCAGCTGGCGGCAGCTGCTGCTGGAGGAGGTGGATGTCGTACAGCTGCTGGGAGCCGCCCTGCAGTGCGGCATCAGCGAGGCTATGCCGCCACAGCAATTTGTGGCGAGCTGCTGTGCCGTGGCGGTGATTGCGCCGGAGCAGGTCCGGCAGGCGGCGGTGGCGGCGGATGCGAGCGGGGATGGGAGCTGGCGTCCGACGGCAGTCTACGACCTGCTGGCTGGCCTGACCATTTGCCTGGACAGTGGATCTGGGGAGGAGGACGGGAGTGAGGGCGATGGTGGCGGAACGGATTTGGAGAGGGCGGCGGATGCCCTGGCTGCACAGCTGGAGACGTGGATAGAGAACAGCCAGGACGGGTTAAGCTGCAGGGGCAGCAGCAGCAGCATGGAGGTGCTGCGTGATGCGGCTCGGGCGGTAGTGTCGCCGGAAGATGAGGAGCTGGCGGCGGCCCTGCTGGTGTCGCCGGGGGAGCTGCGGGTGCGGGGGCTGCTGCGGGGCTGCGGCAACCCCGGCTGCACCAACCTGGCGGGGGACAGCGAGGCGGATGTGAAGCTCAAGAAGTGCGGGCGGTGCGGGCAGGTGGGGTACTGCTGCCGGGAGTGTCAGGTGGCGCACTGGAAGGCGGGACACAAGGAGGCGTGCGGGCGGGGTGCAACAAGGGGTTGAGGAAGCGGCGGGCTTGAGCGGGGAGGCAGTTGGCACGGACTTTCGGCTTGGAGTTTGGCGTTCACCAGTCAATAGAAACTCATTACAGTACCTTTCAGTTACGTGGTAGGCAGAGATGTTGAAACTAGGGCGTGAGCGAGTGTGGTTTGTGGGTTGATGCAGGCGGGCAAGTGGAGATTAGTGTAGAGTGTCTCCCTCCAGGAAGGTGCCGTAGGTCTGCCTAGGTAAGGCTATACCAGATGGTGGTGGTGCAGCAGCTTTTCAAGTGCGACGATCGCTGCCGCCACTGCATGTCGGTGCTTGCCCTGCACCGCGGGTACGGCAGGCTGGCAGCATCACTGCGCTGGCAGGCACAGCAGGCAGTGGGGTCAGGAGCAATGGAGCTGGGTTGCACGGATTCAATAGCGGAAGGTGTGCTTTACGTTTGGCGCATGATGCTTGATGAAAGCCTTGGCGACGGGGACGTTGTGCAGGGTCTTTGGCTGGGTAGGCAATATTACTGAGGAGCATCATTGGCTCGCAAGCTTCAGGGCCTATGCCGCATATGTGATGGCGACACGGCATGGATTGCGCTGTGCGCTTAGCGCACTCTGTTAGCACTGATGTACTCGTGCATCACGTTGGTGGTGCCTTATGCCTGTAGGTTTAGCTATGATAGCATTTGTCTGTACTTCATGTCTTATAAATTGATGTTGCCTTAGGTGTTGCCTAAACCTGCCAGTTGCAGGCACGTGTGGTGGGGGTAAAAAGACGAATGCGAGAGGAGGCGGCAGGGGGCCACATAACAAGGGATGTGGTGGGGTTAGAAGTGCGCTGGGGTGGGGACACCGAGAGGACTCAAGGCCTCGGGTCAGTAAGATGTCGGCATGCGATTGCAAGGGCCACGCGTTGCTGGCGCATAGCAACGGATCGCTTGCAGGGCTTGGGAACAAGGCTGGGTGGTGACGGGGTTGCAAGTTGTTGGGTATGCCTTAGAATGCGAATACCTCAATACGGTATACGTTGCAGGCAAATGGCGCAAAGACTGACCGGAGCTGTGAATGGCCTTGTTAAGGCCCTGGCGCTTGGGAAGCACCACGCCTCCCACCTTCGCACCTCATTCGCCCACCCCCTCGCCAACCCAGCTACTTATGTTTCAGGCAAGGTCACTGCAGCCACAGCGCTCGTGTCCCCTTCTTTCCCCCATGTCTCTAGCCAAATGGTCCCTCCCTGCAATCCATGCTTTGACTTGCAAAGCACTATCACCTCGTCCTCCGCAACGGACGCCTGGAGTGCCGCGTTCAGTACTATTGAAACCCTAACCAACCTTTTGCTAGACAGTAATAAAGTATTATCTTGAGAATAAATACAATAAAGGATAGACTACTATCCTATCGGCAAACGTAACTCCTTCTCCAGGTGGCTGCTGCCCATCTTCGTTGCCCAGCAGTATCGACAACCAAACAGATTGGGGTTCGAACTGAGTCTTTTTATCGCATGGTGGCTACTAAACAAATTTAGGCTATTAAATTCTCAATTTGACTGGAGGGGAAGCGACCCTGCGGGCGTTTCCTATCCTGGCACCGACAACTTAATACCGGTACGGCAAATAAGCAAACGTCATTAATACATGAACCCAGTTCGGTTGCTTTAAGACACTTGCCCCAATTGGCAATTACTTGTCCCCTTCCGCCCTCCAATTGCAAATAGCCTGCCGTTTCTGTAACCCGTGCCTCCTGACCCGTGATGAAATTAAGGGTATTTAACAGCAGTTAATAGGCACAAATGATTCCATAACCTGACCATTAAGATGAAAGGCTGGGGGAAAGGCGACGATGCTAAGATTGCTAACAAAGGGGGTGGCAAGAATACTGCCTTGCCATGCCCCAGCGGCCAAGCCATGGCAGGTCGAGACAACCGAGCGCCTCAAGCGCATCAGCAGCCAGCATCGGGTGCTGCAGCGCCTGGAGGAGGGGGAGGGCCTCAGGCGGTGCTATTGGCCATTGAGCGTGAGCTGAAAGCAGCGCGTCAACAGTTGCACCAACAGGGCCAATATGCGGCGTTTACAGCAGCACTCTCCAAGGTAGATATGGTATGCAGCGTATCCAGTCCTTTTTGTACGCATGTCGGCTTTACATGTACCGGTGCGTGGTTGTCGTCCTTGTGGTAGGGCTCGCTATTATTGGTAGATGCATGTCCCAACATTTAGTTAATCCCCTATCCTCAGTTGGATCGTCAGATACCGGTACCGGCTTTGGACATCAAGGCTTTTGCGCCTGTTGCATCCATACGCGGGCTTGGCATGCCGCATGTATCTCATTGATTCCAGTATGAACCACCATCTTACGGTCTCAACGCTTAAGCGTCTCGCCTCGGCCCTTGCTTGCAGGCGTGGCCGTCTCTGGAGCGCCTCGGCACGCTGCGCTCTTCCGAAGATGTTGTGCGGCGAATTCGTTATGGTGACAACAACTACTTGCTCGACTATCTTATGCGCGAGAAGCGCATCCTATCGGCAATTGCCTCCTACCTCGCCGTACATTCCGGCGTGGCTACGCTTCATGACCTGGAGGCCTTCATCATGGAAAGAGAGCGGGTGAGGGCAATAACTTAAGTCCTGTACCGCCTCCCAAGGTGGTGGCTTGGGGTGTGGCAAGGAATGCCGTCGACTTGTAGCATACCGTACTGTATGGTGCTGTACCGCATGCCATGCTACGCATCCATGTCCTCTCCAAGCACAACGTGCCATACATGCTTTTCCCAAATCCCCTACCTCACATCCCTTTCCCCCTTCCTCTCTTGCCTCATCTCCGTAGAAGCACCTGCCCACCGGTGCCGCTGCCCAGCTTTCCGACATGCTCCGCAGCTACAATGACCTCATGTTGGGCCCGCTGGTACGACACCCGGAGGTCATCAGGGCCAAGTTAGCAGGGCCCGGCATGCCGCCCGGCATGCCCGAGCCCAAGGTACGGATGAGTTGAGGTGTTGGGGGTGGCCAAGGACGCTGCTGATTTTGTTCTAGCAGAGTACAAAGCTGACAGGGTGCTATGGTGCGTGCAAAGTGTTCTGTGACACGATAGGACTTTGAGAACGGCACCGTAGGAGGTGTATCGCAGCGGGACGTTGTCTGCCTCACACCAAGCAACGCCATGCTCCACGCCAACAGGTCACGAGGGTGGACGTGTTGGCGCTGATAGCTGATAAGCTACGCAGCCAGCGCAAGGGGCAGCCGGTGACAGCGGAGGAGGTGGAGTTGCTGGTGCAACGGGCGTACGACAAGTGCGTCGGGACTGCTTGGGAATAAAGAAGGATGGCGCGTCGCGTGTGTACGACAAGGCATACGTAGTACGACACGTACCTGTAGCATGCAATTGGGTTGCATGGCGAAGTGATCCCAATCCTGCCCCTGCATGTTACCCCCTGCAGGTCATGCCTGGACCTAGGAGTGAACGTGGGGCCTCATCTGGGGCTGTTGGTGGGGGACCTTCTCGCGGTGAGCGAGGGAGGAGGGGGCAGGACAAGGAAGGGGAGGGGGCGCAGAGGCCGATGTGGAAAGGAGGAGGTGGGAGCCATACTGGCATTACATCACATGGCAACCGGCGCCCTCTTCGTTGTGCCCCCATGCAGCCATGCAACGCTTCCCTGGTACGTGGTAACCACCCCTGCGGCCCCGTTTCCCCCTCCCCCATCCTACAGGCCTCCTTCGGAGCCTCCTCAGAGTTGAACAACCTGAAACGGAAGGTGAAGGCGGAATTGACGTCTGCCGCTCAACAAAGCATGAAGCCACTGTTGCAGGTACGTGGTTGCTAATCCGATGGGGCAAGAGGAGAGCGAAGACGGATGGGTCCGGGGGACGGGTTTTCCCAAGTTCCGGGATGATAGGAGGCGTGTAGACGGTACGAAATTTTATGTCACCGGTATGCAAGAGGAAATTAAATCCCTAGTTCGCGTGGTTGCTAATATGATTTTGGATATTGATTTTATAAAAGAGCAGAGGGCGAAGTCGATGTTAGGTGCTTGCTGTCCCAGCAGGCCCCCGCCCTTGCATACTGATGGCTTCCTGCTACCCTCCTTCCCTGCTGCTCCTCCCTCTCCCCTTCCACGGCTCGTCCCGTGTTCCCCAAGGCCATGTCAAGCCAAATCGTTGCGAGCACGCGTGAGATGAAGGAAATGGCAAAGGCAGGTGGTGTGGGCGGCGGGCGCGGCTCGGTTAGGAGAGGGGCATAATTAGGGCGGTGCTGCCACGTCAGTGGTGCCAGTGCTCTTACCGCAGCGCAAGTCCTGGCTACGGTGCACCCTGACAACGTGCTACTCATAACGTGTCCTGATGGATTGTCTTGTTTAGGTGTGACCCCGCCTGCGTGTTCCCCCCTATCCCAGCTGTCATAGGCTGCATGCAGCCGGCATTGCACCCATATGACGACAATCCCCGCATACCTGCGCCTCCACACCGCTGCATGGCTCTATCTGCCCCACCTTCTATCTGCCCCCCCCTGCTGTCCCTGCATGGCTCTATCTGCCCCCCCTGCTGTCCCTGCATGGACCTATTTGACTCCCCTGCTGTCCCTGCATGCTGCAGGCCTTTGCAGCCTCCCGCGTTCAGCAACTGCATAAGGCTGACGAGGCCGCAGCGGCGGGGCAGCAGTATGCAATGCCCTTGGAAGTGGCCCTTGATGGGTTGTATGGTGGGTGTATGGGAGGGGCTGTGTGACCCGTGGGTCGGGTCGGGTCCTTAGTGCACATTTGTTTCTGCATGCGGTATTGTACGCTTTGTTTTCTAAGTAGCAACCTAACGGATTCGGACAGTTTGACCTCTAGCCTACGTGCCTATCATACGTGTGTTTGTGCACAACAAGTCGCTTTGGAACCCCCCAGACCCCGGCTCCCCCCCCGCCCCGTCTCCCTCGTTCCCTTCCGGCAAAAGACCGCCTCCGGGACGTGTTGGGTCCCTCCTCCAAGGCCATCTCCTTGGGCGATCTGGGAATGGAAGCGGTGAAGCATGCGGCGGAGTGCGCGACGTACACCCTGGAACCTGAGTTGCCTGCAACATGGCTTCGGCTGCTTGGGGAGGACTCCGCGGTGTGTGGCTGGCTGGCTAGTTGGGGGCAGCTGGGGGGCTGGGGAGAGAGATGTTGGCGTGGACTGTGAAGAGATGGTGGGGTGTCCGGTCTGCCCCTTTCCCTCACTCCTTCCTGTCCTGCTGCTCCTGCTCCTGCCACCCCACCAGAGCTACGTCTTATCGCTCATGGAGAGGGGCATTGTGGAAGTCAAGAGCGAGGTGCTAAGACCGCTTTGGAACGCCCTGGAGGCTGTAGCGCTACTGGTCGTACAAGCCCGTCATGCGGCCCGCTGGCAGCAGCAGCAGCTGCAGCAGCTGCAGCAGCAGATGGAGCTTCTGGCGGAAATCGTGGGGCAGCAGGAGAAGTTGGGAAGCGAGGACGCGGAGGAGGAGAAGGAGGAGGAGGAGGAGGATGCCGCCAGCACCGCAGGGGTGCGTTTCCGTGGAGCTGCTGGCGGGGAGTCCGGCAGAGAGTCGCGTGGCTGGTCACAAGCGGACGGGTTTGAGTTACGGAGCCGCAGTCGACGGGGCGGTGGTGGTGCCGGAGGGGCTGCGGCGCCTCGTCAGCCGGTGTCCTGGAGGCGGCTGCGAGCGCTGGTGGCGGAACTGAATCAGGTGGGGGGTGGGGGATGGGAAATTCCAATGTGTGTGGGGTGGGGGGTGGGGAATTGTATAATGAATGCAAACAACTAGAGTCCCAATCCCATAGCCCGACTCATGCAGTGAGTGCATTCGGAGACACTATCCTAGAAACACGCAAATAAGCGTAACTCATGATGGGGGGGGGGGAAGAGGAAAGAACCAACTGACCGTGTGGTAAGGCCTAAGGCGTGGGCATGGTTTGCTTGCAACATGTGAGCCAGCCCAGGTGGGGTGGGGGATGGCCGGTGTGTAGGAAAAGCCAAGGAAGTCTTCAGGAAACGTTTAGGCAGCTTACTTCCGCTCCTCATCCCGCATGCATTCAATCCTTGACCGTCCCACCTCTGGCCGCCCCCGCTCCTCAGGGTCTCTCCCTCCGCGCCCTCGCCTCCCTGGAGTGTGAGGTGGCCCAGGCTCTGGGCTGCCGTACATTTGCTGAGCTCGGGCGGGGACAGTCACTGCTGGCAGGTGGGGGAAAAGAAGAGGAGGGGGGAAGGAGGGGAGCGGCAATAGTTGGGAAGGTAGGGGCTTGGGAAAGGAAGATCGGGAATCGGGGAAGGGAAGGTAGCAGGGAGGTTGTGGGTGTGCGCCGAAATAAAGTACCTTATTTAGCTGGTTTGGGGCTTGCGTGGATAAGGGCCGAGACGTGGTCAATAAGGAAGCGACCTAAAGTTGAATAAAGCGTGGATGGGGCATGCACCGATTGTGACCCACCATCGCCGCTCTGACTTTTGACTAGAAGCCTGGGATTTGGGTAGTGCTGTGAAACCTCTTGAATATCCATCTTTGCGCTTGGGGCAATGTCGCAGACTGTGAGGTCTAACCGAGTCGCGACTATTGCTGGTTGAAAACTAACTTCCAACCCCGCGGTCGTGTCCTTCGGGGCCTTCCGCAATTTCTGGCGGTCTTTTGACCCCACCCAACAAAAAGTCTACCGGTATTATCCATTGTCGTGGCGGTAGCACCTTCCCACAGGAACGCCCTTTCATTGTCCCTTCATTGTCCCTCTGCTCCTTGGATTCCTCTGTTAACCTCGTTTCTCTTGATAATGCCATCCTGTTTTACCCTTCACTCGCACGCCTTCCCTGCACCACAGCCCTGGTAACTCACGAGGACCTGGTATGGGAGTTGCTGGGCGGGGAGGAGGCGGCGGCGGCACTGCTGACCGCAGCAGGCTCGTCTGGGCTGCAGGAGGGGGCAGCAGCGGCACTCAAGCTGACAGCGGCAGGAGGGGGAGGAGGTGGAGGTGGAGGGGGTTATGGACCCGTGGGTCGGGAGGAGGTGCTGACGCTGGTGGGGATGGTGCTGGCAGCCAGGAGGCGTGCGGCAGCAGCTGGGGAAGGTAAGGGGCAGGGGAGGGGCAGCTTGGTAGGTAGGAGGGAGGGGCGATACGAGGGACTAGTCGTACATGGCCCCCATACTATGCGCTTCTTCCTCCCCCGCCTCCACCACCGCAGGCGGCGCTGCATCCTCCCGGCAGGACGGCCGCCCCTACGATACTGCCAACAACGGTAGCAACACGAACGACGATGGAGATGACGCCGACGTGGCAGCAGTGGAGGAGGCGCTGCGACGACAGTACGGCATTCCATGCGCTGTCGTACTCGGCTTCGGGCCTGTACGACACCTCATTGCTGAGGCAGAAGAAACACTGAAGACGGCGTCATCGCTGTACGGCACGTCCGTCGTACCCTCATCTTCACCCGCATCAGCTACCGCCGCTCAAGCTGCTGCTGTAGTGGTTCCGGAGCTTGGTTTGGTGGGCGCTAGCGCTAGCAGTGTTGGTGGAGGTGGCGGCATGGGCCTGTTGGGTGATATGGGCAGTGACGCGGCTGCTGTTGCAGCGGCTGCTGCCGCCTGCCTGGATGCCGCTCCGATGTGCGGCGACCTGGGCGAGTGGAGCCGGTGGGAGGAGCTGTTCAGGCCGCAGCTGGGACCATTGAAGCTGTACCTGCAACAACAGAGGTGGGGAGGTGGGGGATGAAGGGGTACGGTAATGAGGCTGCCGCACATGCAGCTTTACCTTCCTTTCTGCCGCCTTTTTCTTCGGTTAGTTCTGCCTTTATGCTCATTCTGCCCCCCACCTTCATTCCCAACCCCCAGGTCCACCCAGCCGGGTGGTGCGGGTGGTGTTGCTGCTGCCGGCAGCTCCTGGCGTGTGGTGGAGGCTGCTGGCGGGCGGCTGGTCAAGATCCCCGCAGGACTGGGAGTGCAGGTAGACAGGGTAGGGGCAGCAGGGCTGGGGGAAGCCATTCCTCCTCGTCCTTCACCTCTCCAGCTCGTTTTGCGCTTCCCTTTCTGCCACCCTTCGCTTCTCGTTCGTCTCTCACCATTGGTCTATGCATGTCACTGGTAACCTCCAGCCGCCCACTCCTGCCAACGCCTATCCGCCCCTCTGCTCTCTCCTCCCTCCCTCTCAGGGTTTCCTCTCGCTCTTCCAGCAGCGGCTGGGGGCGCTAGACGGGCGGGGCATGGCCGCCGCACTGCTAGGGCTGCTGGGGGAGGCGGGAGGCGCGGAGGGGGCACCGCTGAGGGTGAGAAGGGGAGGGCGGGGGCGCGGAGTGGCGGAGGGGGAGATGAAGGGAAGCACGAAATGCGGGCTGACGCAAAGCGTTTGCTAGGAGGACTGGCGCGTTGGCTCGTTGTTCCGATCCCTCCCTTCCTTTCCTCCTCCTCCCGATCCGTCTTCCTGCTTCCTGCTTCCTCTCTCTCTCCTCCGCCGCGCCTTCGCACATGCTTGCCTCCCTTCCTCCTCCACCCTTCCCTGCCTGACCTGCCTCCCTCCCTCCCTCCCTCCCCGCCTCCCCCTCAGTACCTGGAGGGTCTCGTGGAGGGCAGCTGGGCAGCCTGGGTGGAGCGGCAGGGGGGATCAGGTGCAGGTGCAGGTGTGGCAGGTATGGCAGCGGGCCGGGGGGCCCTACGTGCTGCCGTCAGCGGCTGCCACCGCCCGCACCCGCACCAGCCGCTGCTGCGCTGCTGCCTGGAGTGCCTGGGGGCGGTGCCGCTGAGAGCCGTGCGGGGCAGCCTGGCGGCGAGGTGAGGGGGTAGGACGAGAAGCAACTACCGGAAACTGACCGTGTGGGGGCCCGAGGGTGTGTTGTGAGTCATGCATGGCCGCCAGCCACTCCTCCAATCCTGCACTCCTGCACTCCTGCACTCCTGCACTCCTGCACTCCTGCACTCCTGCATTGTTGCGGTCCTCCAATCCTGCACTCCTGCATTGTTGCGGTCCTGCCTTGTTATCAAGGGTATCATGCATACAAGCTGAACATGCAGCGCGTTGCTTGCATGTTGCTTGCAACCTTTGCAAAGGGCCCTTTGTCCCGCGTCCAACTCAGCTGCCCGCCTCCCCCCCCCACCCCTCCTCCCCTGCAGTGTGTTGCTCCCCCCACTAGAGAACCCCCACATCCTGGGTCGGGGCTGGCAGGAGGCGCTGCTGGCGGCATGTGCAGGCCCGCAGCAGAGGTGGGGAGGGGGGCCGTAGGGGCACAGGCGGGGAGGGGGCGTGTGCGGGGCAGGAGCACGGGTGGGTGATGGGGGCCGTGTGCGGGGCAGCAGCACATGTTCAGGCACTGGGCTGTGGTAGGAGACATGAACAATAACGAAGAAAGAAGAAACAATTATCTGCATGCGCAGAATGTAGCTCTACCTGTCTTTTACTTCCAAACCCAAACCCTCCACACCTCCGCACCTCGGCACCCCCCTCACACACACCCCGCCTGCCGTCCATGCACAGGTCTATCTTGCACCAGTTGGGTATGGATCTGCGAGTGGAGGAGTGGTGTCGGGACTGGCTGGCTGCCCACGTGCCGCCGCCAGCACCGCCCCCGCAGCAGCAGCAGCCCCCCGCCGTACAGCAACAGCAGCAACAGTCGCAGCCGCCTGCGCAGCAACAGTCGGAACTATCCCCCGCACAACCTTCTGCTGCTTCTGCTGCTGCGACTGGCCAGCAGCTCCGGCCCCAACCCCAGCCAGGATTGGCTGCAGGGGAGCAGCAGGAAGGGGCAGCCACAACGGGTAGCGAGGAAATGGCAATCAGGCCTGGCGAACCACCACAACAACAACATCGGCAGGATGTCAGCGGGGGCGGTGGATCGAGGGGCAGCTGCGATGTTCCTGTCGCTGCTGCTGCTGGCAAGAGCAGTGCCCTGGGCGAGGGCACAGCGGCAGCTGATGGATCTGACAACACCGCAGCTGAGGCAGGCTGCGCAGGAGGGGGATCAGGGGCAGCAGGAGCAGCAGATGCCGATGGGAAGCAGCAGCAGCGGGGCGGGCAGCAGCAGCTGGGGGGAACAGCAGCGGGTGCTGAGGCTGAGGCTGAGGCGGAGGCTGAGGAGCGGCGACGCCTGGGGGCGCTGGTGGTGGAGAGGATTCGGCATGTGGGTGTTTCCTTGCATGGGGGAAGGACATTCCGAGGGGGGAAGACACGGAGGGGGAGAGAGGTCACTGCTGGGTGCCGGGTGTTTAAGGATGAGCAGTTACCGTACCTCTATACATACCGTATATGCAAGCGAATGCAACGTTTCGCACCTGGTTGCTTGGGCGTACACCCGGGTTGTACTCCTCCCACACACCCGGGTTGTACTCCTCCCACACACCCCTCTCTCTCCTTGCCGTTACGACCGCCGTACTCCCCTGCCTCTTTCCTCGCTCCCTCTCCCTTCAGACGTAAGACAGTAACCCCTTGCGCTCTTTTCTCTCCACACACCGCCTCTCGCCCCTCCTCCCTCACCCCTCCCCACCCGCTACAGACGTACGGTGTTGACAAGCAGTTTTCCGACCCGGACGCCGTGGAAACCATCCGGTGTAACACGCAGCGAGTGGGCAATGCGGTGGAGCAGGTGTGTGTGTATGTGGGGGGGAGAAGGAGGGGGGGAACAGGTTGGGGTTGGGGGCAGCGGGAGGTGGGGTTGGGCTCATGCCATCCCTCTTAACACCCTCTTAGCAGCACTCGCTGAACGTCATTCCGTTGCCACCACGTCCCGTGTGTTCACCCTCACGAGTCCATGCAGCTCCCGTTTGTATGATGAATCCTTCCGTACAGCAATGTATCCCCACCCGCCCACCCACTTAACCCAAACCCATGTCACCCCAACCCACCCCCTCAGCTCTCTGCACAGCTGTATTCCAAGGACCTTCACTTTGTGATGGAGCTGCTTCAGAACGCGGGTGAGGTGCGGGGAAAGGGGGGGGGGAGGACAGGGTGACAAGAAGGTATGTGTGGCGGGCATGGCTTACTTTTCGCATGCCGCGCCTCCCCTCCTGCGGCTTACTACTGATGCAGCGCTTCATGGGTACCTCCCACCGCCCTTTTAACCGAACCTCCCCGCCCATTCATTTTCCTACATACCCTGACATACCCCTATACACTTATCCCCCAACCCCAACCCCCTCCCCAGAGGACAACAGCTACCCCCCTGGCGTGCTGCCCTGTCTGGAGTTCGTGCTGACACCCTCAGCGCTTGTGGTTCTCAACAACGAGATGGGGTTCAAGGTGGGACGAGGGTACGGGGAAGGGGGGAAAGGAGTGATGAGTGAAGGCTCGAGAAGGGGCTGGGACGAGGGTGTGGTGTGGTGCGGCCTGCCTCCTTCCATGCCCGTAAAGCCACGTATGTCGTGCATGCCAGCGTGTCTCACGCAGTATATCACTGCCTGACGGCCCCCCTATACCTCACCCCTCCCACCCACAGGAGGCGGACATTCGTGCCCTCAGCGACGTTAACATGAGCACGTGGGTGACTGGGGGGGAGTGACTGGGAGTTGGCGGGGTGGTGGGGTCTGGGGGGTTATGGATCGACTGGGGTACACCGATAGACACCGATAGAATTTGCTACATTATGTGAAAAGTGCCGTACTACCCTGCAAAGTGCTGCCAGTGCTGAGGAGCGATGTGCCAGCTGCTGCTGCTCTCGCCCCTCACCCCCTTGTACGAGTGACGTCCGGTACTTTATTAGCGCCTGTCTGGCCGTGAGTTAAAAGAGACGCTGCACGTCTCTTATTACCGGTATGGCCGGTAGTTCTGCTCCCATAGTGGTTTGCGCCCTTGCGCAACATGCGCCCTGAGCTCCTACGTCACCGCTTACTCCCTCCTTCTTTCCCGTGTCTCATTACCATCACTCCCTCCCACAGCAAAAAGAAGAAACGCGGCTACATCGGCAAGAAGGTGTGGTGCCTGCCTGTGTGCTGACCCGGCTTGCGGAAACTGCCGCTGCAGCTGCTGTCGGCCTTCTCAGTCCCTTACAACTGCGGCTTCGGACTGCTTCCGAGAGGCATCGTAAACGTCGATTTGGTGCACTGAATGACTCTCTCCCCATCCGTTTCCCTCCGCATGTCCTTCACCAAGCCTTTGCCATCTTTACCGTACTGCCACGATAACTTAACCGTCCCTTACAATTCTTACGTGCTGGTTTCCCCCCTTTGGCGCGTCTATCAACTCGTTCCCCCTCGCCTCTTATGTCCCGACTCACCGTCCCTACGTACCGCCCACCCCACCCCTCCCCATCGCCCACCCCTCCCCTCCCAAGGGCATTGGCTTCAAGTCCGTGTTCAAGGTATGGTAGGGTTGCGCAATGGCGGCGCCCTGCACTTCTACTGCACTTCTGCTGCAACCACGCCGCTTCACCTTCGCCCTCAGCAGTAGCAGCATCACGCACAACATGCTGCAAAAGCCAACCACACCCCCCTCCACCTCCATTTCTCTTCCCACCACCACCCCCACCACCCCCAAACAGGTCTCCTCCGCTCCCGAGGTGCACTCCAACGGCTTCCATGTGGCATTCAGTCGCACCCTGTACGGCAACCTAGGCATGGTGCTGCCCTCTGCCGTACCGCCGTACAACGGGGCGGATCTGCCCAGCCAGCTGGGGCTGATCCCCGGTGGAGGCGCGAGAACCATCATACGACTGCCGCTGGCTGTGGCTGCGGGGGCTGTCTCAGGGGAGGGTGGCGACGGAGGTGGTGATAACGAGGAGGCGGCAGCGGCGGCGGCGGCTTCGGCAGCGGCTGTAGATAGCCTGCGACGACGTAAGCTGCCAGGGATGTTTAGGGTGCTCATGTACTGCCGGCGTATTGTGGTGGTCTGTGCTGCTGCTGCTGCTGCTGATAGCTACCGGCACCCTGACTATGCGTGCTACCATCCCCGTTACGGTTGGGCGCCCCCCTCCCTGCCGCTCCCTGCAGCGTTAGCGCTCCTTCCCTTCTTCCGTTCCCACTCCACCCTTTCCTGCCGTCCTGCCCCTGCCCGGCACCCCCAATAACACTGCTCCACCCCTCTCCCTCCCTCCCTCCCCAGCCCTGTCTGAGGTGGACCCCCGCCTCATCCTCTTCCTTAAGAAGCTCCGGTGCATCGCTGTCACGGATGCGGCGGGAGGAGCTGGTACGGCTGCCACAACCGCAGCCGCTGACGACAGCACCCTTGGCGCTGGCTACGGCGGTTACGGTGATGCACCCTTCTCGCTATCCTATGGAGGTGATGGTAACGGCGATGGAAATGGCAATGGCGATGGCAGCGGTGGTGCTGGTGCTGGTGCAAGCGCGGGGCAGGGCTGGAACGGCGGTCTGAGCAGCATTCAGGTCCACAAGGAGGAGCTGGGAGGGGGTCAGGTGGCGCTGCGGTTCGGACCCGTGGGTCACCTGCAGGAGAGCCGCTGGCTGATCGTGAGCGACAGCTTCGCGCCCAGCGTTGACCGGTAGGGCAGCCGAACATGCAGCGGGTGGTGCTGGGAGGCGGGGCGCGAGTGTGTGGGGGGGAAGGGGGGTTGTTGAGGGCGGGTAGGAAGATCCCTCCCTTCCCTACTTCCTGCGTGAGTCGGCCTATGGGATTGAGATCACCAGTACTGTATTTCCCTTCCTTATCCTCCCTCCCCCCCAACCTTCACCTGCTGCTGCTGCTGTCCCCAGTGGCGACCTATCCGCCGGTGAGCTGGGGGAGACGGAGGTGGCCCTCGCCTTCGACCTGGGAGCAGCAGCGGACATTGCTGCTGCTGCCGCCAGTGCCGCCGCATCTGCTGCTGCTACAGCTAACAGCACCGGCGCCGCTGGCAGCCGCGGCAGTGGTGGGGCGGCGCCAACAGCGACGCCAGCAGCATCCAGGCTGGGCGGTGCTTCACTGCCGGCGGCTGCGCTCCCTCGTCCGCCCCGACAGGAAGTGTTCGCCTACCTGCCCACTCGGGACTACGGGCTGAGGTTCATGGTTAATGCGGACTTCATTGTGACAACCAGCAGGTGAGGGAAAAGGGGCCAGGGGGCTAGAAGCGAGAGGAAGCACAGCATTTTCAGAACCTACACGACGGAGAAGCTAGAGACAAGGTTCACTGGAGGGCTCACTGTGAAGGTCTCCCGCGCTCTGTCCCGCGCAACCTGTTCCATGCAGCACCCTAAGCTCCTGCCACGCCCGCGCTAGCTGCCATCCCTGCATTCGCGTCCCGGCCTTGTAGCCGTGTCACCTCACTTGCGCGCTGCATTCCCTCGCCACCACCCCAAACAGAGAGGCGGTTGACAACAGCAGTGCCTGGAACCACATGCTGGCATCGCGCATCCCGCAGCTCTTCGCAAGGTGGGGTGTGGGGTGGGGGTCGGGCGGGAGGGAAGGAAAGGGGAGGGTCTGCGGAAGCGCGGTCAAAGGGAAGGAGCGGGGTTGGGCATCTGCTCCCAGGGTGGCAACCTTCAGGAGGAGAACCCCTTGGGAAAGCACATTGTGATATCCATCATGTCCACATCCATCAGCCTACCGTACTCTCTTCCTACTGTCGCCATACAATCCCCCCCTTTTATTTGCGCTCCCCTTTGTGTCCTTCCTCCTCCTTGCCACTCGGCCTCTCCCAGGTCGCTGTCAGAGCTTCAAAAGCTGGATGAGCAAGCAATGCAGGAGGAGCAGGCGCAAGAGGACGGCACGAAGGAGGAGGCGCAGCAGCCACAGCAAGAAAAGGATGTCCCGGCGGCACCCGAAGGACCCGCTGCAGTGGGACCGACCCGTGGGTCACCTGCGGACCAGCCGCTACCCCGGCTGCCGCCCCACGGCTGGCTGAACTACTGGCTGAGCTGCCTGCCGCTGCCGGACGAGCCGCACGTGAGCGGGAGGGGGAGGGGGGATTTGTGGTGCTGGGGTGCATTGGTGGTGCAGCTGTATGTGTGATTCTGCAGCCTGGCGCAACTTCATTACGTCTGCAGTCATGCTATCAATCGTGGATTTCCTGCACATTCCTGCACAAACCTAGGGCGTCAGGAGTCTCATCCTGAAACACGCGAGTCCCCTTGCTCCCGATCTCTCACCATCTCCTCCCTCCCTCCCTGCCGCCCCCATGCATCCCGCCTCCCCCCCCCCCCCCCCACACACACACATACACATACCTCCACCCCCCCCCAGGACCTGTTCGCCAGCCTGCCCGCGCGCATCGCCGAGTGCGCTCGCGCCGCGGTGCTGCTGCCCACCGCGTGTGGCCGCATGCTGTCACCCGCGAGCCACCAGCTGCGGGTCTGCCACGACCCACGGGTCAGGGAGCTGCTGGCAGAACCCAGCATGCAGGTGGGGGTAAGGGAGGACGACACAAATGCAAGGGGGGAGGCTGCATGGGGCCGGCATGGGGGATGATTGTGCTGGTCTTTGCAGTTGCATGTTGCCTGTGGTGGTCCCAGAAGTTGCGCATCAGGCACTGGTGACCACCACTAAGTCGCTGTTGTAGCCGCCTGTGCGCCTTGTCAGTCACACTGCCATCAACCTCTTCATGCTTGCGGCTTTGTCTACCGGTAAACCTATCATCTCGCTTGCCTCTGAGCCACCTCCGCTACATAGCCGGGTGTTCCCCATCCACGGTCCACTACCATACTCCCGCAAGCAAGCTCCCCTCTTTACCTTCCGCGCAACTCCCCTACCGCCCCTCCTCTTCTTTGCCCCCATCACCTGCTAAATCCTCCCCTACCCACCTCTACGATCTCCCTCCCCCGCCAGGCGGCTCTTCGTTCCGCGGGGCTGTACTTTGTGTCGGAGGCGGTGGCGCCCCTGCACTGCAGCGCCCGCCTGAGGGCGATGCTGGGGGTGCAGGACTTCCAGGCGCAGGACATGGTGCGGGCAGAGGGGGGAGGGAATAACGGATACCGCAGAGGGGAGAGAGGAGAGGCGAAGGCGAGGGGGAGGGCGGCAAGGGGTTGGGGGGGGGGGGGGAGCGGGGTGGCAAGGGGTTGCGGGGGAAGGGGGCGAAAGGGTTAGGCAGCCCTATCTGGGATGCAGGGTCGGGAACACATGGCCGTCACAACGTTGGATGGGAACGGCATCCACCGAAAGCCCCACTCAAACACCACCCGAACGCCTTCCTCCCCCCCCCCCGGTTCCCTTTCTGTTCTGCTCACCTTCCCCGAACCCCAGGTTGACTTGCTGGAGATGATGCTGGTCACCGCCCACACCAGCAGCAACACAACCCCTCCTGCGACATCGCCCACACCAGACCAGCCCGAACCAGCCCCCTCCTCCTCCTCCGCCACCTCCTATGGCCCCCTCAGCCTGGCTCTGCTAGCCCGGCTGCTGCTGGTCATCTTCTCAGCGCTCGGGGTGCGACCCGCGGGAGGGGCGACAGGCTCAGGACCTGCAGCAGGAAGAGCAGGAATCCGCAGTAGTACTATACCCGCACGACCCCACATGCGACACCATCAGCAGCAACCACCCACGTCACGAACAGCTGCTGCTGCTGCTGCCGTACTTCCGCATCACAACGAACGCCTGTGGGCCACCCTGCGCCGCCTGCGGATCATTCCGCTGCTGCAGCAGCAGCAGCAAGCGGGAGGAAGCAAGGAGGAGGGCAAGCAGCAGCAGAGAGGTGGTACCAATGACCCATGGGTCGCGGCAGCTGCTGCAGGCGGCGCGGCAAGCTCTCAGTATGTGTTCATGCTACCTGGCGAGGGTGATGAACCTTACGGTGCTGCTCCTGCTCCTGCTGCTTCCTCTGCTCGGTCTGCTCCTTCTGCTGCCGGCGGAAGTGGTCTGTCAGGGGTGTTGGCTGCGGTAGGGTTGCCTCCCGACCTGCGTCCCCTGCTGCAGCCCCTGCAGGATCTCCAGATGCTGCTGGGATCACCGGCAGCGAGAGGTGCAGGTGCAGGCGGAGGCGGGGCTGCCGCAGCTTCTAACTCCACCACCGCGAGTGCAGGAGGGCAGCGGCCCCACACGGGCACCCGTACCCGCAGCGCCCTCCCCTCCCGCAGCAACAGCAGCCCCAACACCCCTCGAATCCGCTTCCTGGACCCCCGTCTAGCGGAGCAGCTGCCGCCAGGGGAGCAGCGTGCCGTACTGCTGGCGGGGCTGCGGGAGCTGGGTGTACGACAGCTGGAGGCGGCTGACGTGTACGACATGGCCGTACTGCCGCTCATGAGGGCGTACGGCAATGCGATGGTGATGGCAGAGGGTCGTGCAGCGAAGTGCGGAGGGGAGGACTCTCCTGCTGGTGTTGGTGGTGATGACGGTGGTAGTGGTACGACAAAGTCACAGTTGCCTGAGCTACCTGCATCGACGCTGGTTTCGTGTTTGGCTTTCCCACTGGCAGCGGGTTTGTTGACCCCGCCTCATCGCGACACCGCCAGCATTCCCAACAGCAACACCAACACCAACACCCCGAACATTCCGTACGACAAGTACGATGACGAGTACGACAACAGAACCCCCGCCGACACCGATGACGTCATCCTTCTGGAGGAGCTCCGCTCCTGCGCGTTGTTGCTAACTGACTCGGGAGATGTCGTACGCTGCCCATCTGCTACTGCTACCGCTGCTGCTGCTACTAGCACCACTGCCGCGGAGCTCTTCCTGCCCGCTCGGCTGTGCCCTGGGGGGTTCGATCTGCGGCGCTGCTTCCCCGAGTGGTGTGCCAGCAGGCGGCTAGCAGTGCTGTCGGATGCCTACCTGCTGAGTGGGGGAGAGGCGGTGACGGAGGCAGCGTGGGCCTGGTTGTTCCGGCAGCTGGGTGCCACGCCCTTCCTCAAACTGCACCCCCGCACCGTCTTCCTGCGCCCCACCCACCTCCTGCTACCCGCTGCTACGGGCCCTGCGTCTGGCGGTACCTCCAGCACCACCACTGCAGCAGCCGCCGCAGCAGCAGCATCCGGCAAGGGCGCTGCCCCTAACGCTCCTGCCGATCACGGGCGGGAAAGTGAGGAGGATGGTGGCAGTTGTGAGGACGAGGCTGAAGATGCTGTCTGGGCTGCCTCACGCGGTCTGATCCTGCCCCTGGAAGACTCCCCCTGGCGCTTCTTCGCTCTGCCGCCACCGCAGCACCCGCAGCACCCGGGCACCCCCCATCACCAGCAGCAGCAGCAGCACCCGCAGCAGCAGCAGCAGCCGCGGCTGCCTGCCTGCCCCCCCGGCTGCGTGTGGCGGCTGGCGGACGTGAGCTGCCCCGCGTTGGAAGACCTGCTGGCATGCATACTGCAAGAGGAGAAGCAGGAGGAGAACAAGAAGAAGAAGAGAGGTGGCACAGAGTCCCTCGCCTCCTCCTCCGCAGCCGCCGCCTCAGCACCCGCTGGCTACCTGCAGCTGCAACACCAGCTGTGGCCGTGGCGGCACGGTGTCGGTGCCAGCAGCGGGGACGTACTACCAGGCCAGCAGGCAGCAACCGCAGCAGCAACGCAGCCAACGCCACCACCCGTGCTCAGCTCCCGTCAGACAGCGCTGCTGGGTCGCCTGGCGCAGGAGTTGGAGCGGCAGTGGGGGGCGGGGCGGTACGGGCAGGGACTGAGTCTGAGGGCGGGGGTGCGGGTGGTGAGTGAGGAGCAGGCGAGGGAGGAGCTGGCGGCGGAGGTGGGGGTAGTTGCTGGCAGCGGTGGTGCGGCTGGTGGCAGTGCTGGCAGGGTTGCGAAGGGTGGTTTCGGCGGTGGGCGGGGCATGAGCGGAGGGAGGCAGCGGGATGAGGCAGTGGCGGCAGAGGTGGAGGATACGTCGTGCATGATGCTGCCCAGCTCGTTTGCCTTGGTGCTGAGGACCAAGAGGTGGGTGGGGCTGGGGGTCGGGTTGGGTTACGGTATGGGGTAAAGCCGCAAGCAGAGAAACCACGAGAAGGGGTCACAGCAACGACCTCCACATCAACGGTCGCACCCACATGAGCGCATACGTGCCCTCTGCCCCATCCACGCCCTACCCCTCACCATACCCTGTCCGCTTACCGGTACCATGCCCTCTCCCACCGTCTCCCCTCCTGGCCCCCTCCCTGCCTCCCCCCCCCCAGGTGGCTGCCCACCAGTCTAGGCACCGCAGCTGCGGCAGTGCCCCGGGGACCTGTCCCTGGTGCTGCTGTCACCGGTGCTGCTTCTGGCGGTGCTGCTGGCGGTGCGGGTGGGGTTGAGGTGGCTGGCGGCGCGGGTGTTGCGGAGGTGGAGGTGGAGGTGGTACCGCAGCTGCCGCGACTGGTGAAGCTGTTTGGTGAGTGGCTGGAGGGTGGGCCCAGGTGTAGCGTTTCCAAGGGTGGGGTGGGGGGGCGGGGCAGCGCAGCGAGGGGATAGTGGGTTGGGGCCGGTGGCAGCACACGTCTGTCAAGATCATTTTTGCCCTCCCACTCCGCCCGTGTTAACCCTCCCTCATCATCACTCTCCCTCATGTTGCCATGCACCCAACACTTCCCCTGCGCCCCATCCCCTCCCCCCTACCTCAGGCGACTCCCCGCTCCCCTACCTGGCAGTGCCTGGGCTGTCCCCCTCCGGCCCGCTGCTGCGAGCCCTGGGGCTGCCCGCTGAGGTCTCCGCACCCCTGGTGCTGGCACTGCTGAGCAAGCTAGCGGCTGCCGGCAGCAGCAGCAGCAGTGGCAGCAGCCCCCCAGCGGCGGTGGCTCCCCCACTGCTGCTGGAGCCGGGCTGCCTGCACCGGGTGTACGGCTATCTGGCAGCGGAGGGGCAGCGTGAGGATGCGAGCTGGGTGGCGGTGTGTGCGGCGTTCGAGCGGGGGCGCCTGATTTGGCTGCCCGGTGGGTCGGAGGGTGGGGTGAGGGAGGTGAGGGTAAGGGAGGAAATGAAGGTGCGAGCTTTCCTTTCCAAGTTTTGCGACACGGTAGTCGTGCGTCTGCTTGAGTGACTAATCTCCTGCGGGAAGACTGTGTTTTCTATATAACGGCACGACACCCGACACAAAGCTTACCCTCTGCCGAAACACATGTACGGGTAACAAGCATTTGTTGGGTGTACTCCGCAGACGCGCCCCTCCCGGCCCCTGCCGGCTCCTCCTCCTCCTCCTCCTCCGCCGCCGCCGCCCTCCGGGTTGCCGGCCGCTTCTACTCCGCGAGCCAGGTGCGGCTGAGCGACCCCACCGGTGTGATGGAGCAGCTGGCGGCAGAGGAGGCAGCGACGGCAGGGACGGGTGCGGGGGCGGGGGCAGCAGCAGTCCGAGGCAGGAGTAGCAGTGTGAAGGGCGGCGGCGGCAGCAGCAGCGGAGGCAAGGAGGGCAGCAGCGGCAAGGACAAGGGCGCAGCGGGGGGCCGCCTTGTGCGTGTGTTGGACGTGCACTACCCGCCCAAGGTAAAAGGGAGCAGCGGGTGGGGGGGGGGGCCTGAGGTGGTGGGACCCCTGTCCCTTACAATGTTTGCTCTACCCTGTAATGGCGTCCCTTCTCCCATCCCAAAGGGTAGGCACACATCCCTGAGCCCTGACATTTCATGTGCTATTATCCCATGTGCCGCCCCCGCGGTACCATCCCCCCTCCTCCCCGCCCCCAGGTTATGTCCTTCTTCGAGGAGCTCTGTGCCGTCACCGCCGCCACGTCCACATCGACAACACACGCCCCCCCTCCGCCGCTGCTGGCCCGCCACCCCTCCCTGGAGGACTACATGGCGGCCCTGCGCCGCATCACGGAGGGGGAGGAGACGGCGTCGGCACGGAGCATGCAGCTGGTGAGGAGGGTGGTGGTGGGGTGCCGGTGGAGGGGGATCTCTTCCCCCTCATCCCTAAATCTTCATCTTCCCGCCTTCACCTCCCTCCTCCTGAGGATGGGGCTGGGACTGCACTTGCTGCACTCCTAATTTATTTCCTCCCTCCTCCTCTTCGCCCCTGTCAGGTTCGCTCCATCCTGCTGCGCTGGTCGGAGGGTCTGTCCAGCGGCGCCCTGCCCGCGGGGGGTCCGCTGGCGGGTCGGTTGGCGCTGCTGCTGCCGCCGCTGCGCGTGTGGCCGGATGTGGCGGGCGGCTGGGCGGCCTGCCGGGAGGGTCTGCTGGCCAACGATTCACCCGAGCTGGCTCGACTGTTCGGGAAGATGCAGGGTGAGGGTGGGGGGTGAGGGTGGGGTGGGTGAGGTGGGGTGAGGATTGGGTGGGGCTGTGAGGGACGAAGGAAAAGCACCTGAAGCCGTGACGGACATGCCCTCTTTCCAACCCGCTCCTTAAATCCTCCCTCACACATGCTGGTTCACAGTTGCCTGCCATCTCAGCGCCGTGAAGTAATCCTGGCACTTTATCGCCATCATTCATCCCCCCTTCCTTTCACGTTCCCCTGTCGCGCATACAGGTGTTCACATCTTGGATGCCAACTTCTGCGGCCCCCTGTCGTCTGCTGCCGAGCCAGCTCCCGGCACCGGCACCACCAGCACCACCAGCAGCGGCTCGTTAGCCCCCCTGTTGGAGCTGCTGGGGGTGCGGCGGCTGTCTCAGTGCGTGGAGGAGGAGGTGCAGTACGAGGGCATGAGGCAGGGTGAGAGCGAGGGAGGGAGGCCATGGGGGCGTGTGCCTGTGGTGGGGGAGGAGGAAGAGGAGGGCGCCTAGCTAGTAGGACGGTGCATACCGTAGTACGGCGGCTGTGACATCAGGGCCAGCAACATTGGCGTGGGTACTGAAAGGGCCCCTTTTGCCACATACCGATGGAGCGGAGGGAAACTGTGTTACTGCCGGGCTGCGGTTGACGTTAAGCCGCTGCTGCAAGCACATACGGTATTTGACTGTCGCCTAGAGTTTGATAATGCCGCGTCGCACCATATCATGATGACGCGTCCACCTGCCCCCTCCCTCGCCTCCACACAGGTTGGGTTGTGGAGCGGCTGGTGCGCATCAGCCTGCAGTTCGTGCAGCGCTTCCTGCTGCACACGCGGCCGCAGCTGTACGGTGCGGTACGGCAGCGGGTGGCGGGCCGGCTGCCGGGGCTGATGTTCTTTGTGGTGAACAGGGACAGCTTGAAGGTGGGTGGGCGGGGTAGGGGGGGGAGGGGGGGAGGGAAGGGAGAGGAGGGGAGCGCTGGTTCCCTGGTTGGTTGGGGGCTTGGAAGGAGGGGGTGATGAGAGGTGGTGGACAGCGAATGAGCGACCGTTACAATGGTTCCCTGAAAGGAAAGACGGGTGATGATCCTCCTCAAGGGTAGCATCGGGCGCGAGAAGTGTGAAGTGAAACCCTTTCTGCGAGGCGCGTATGGTTGGTTGGTGCCAGAGCAGTAGCATGCGGATCTTCCACAACAGCTGCTGCTGCACTGTACATGTAACCTCTTGCGGCGTACTGTTAACCTGTGCGTGTGTCGTCGTTACTGAGTCTTCAAGCTCGTGCCTCTCATCCCATGTTGACCCACTCGGCTTCTGGTTTTGGAGCCCCTGGGGACCCTTCTCACCTTACTCCCTAATCCCCCCACCCATGCAGGTGCTCTACCGGCTGCGGCATCCCGACGGTCGGCCGCCCCTGCCCGCCGAGTCCCCGCAGCCCCGACCCGTGGTTCTGCAACTGCGCAAGCAGCCCGCAGCAGCAGCGGCGGCGACGGGAGGAGGAGCGGCAGCAGCAGCAGAGGTGCCCTGGTTGTTTGTGGACGATGTGAGCAACTACCACAAGATTTGCAATGAGCTGAGCAGGTAGGGAGGGGTGAGTAGGGATACATATTCCGCATTAGGCTGGATCTAGGGTAGGTAGGTAGGTAGGTAGGTAGGTAGGTGGGGAGGGCGTATGGTAGGGAGAAGGGCGCGGCGGGGAGAGCGCGTCAACGTGGACTGCGGCAACAGCGATGCCTGACTGGCTTTCCAATGCGCAGTGTTGTAACCTGGGGTTGCTGCAACTACTGCAGTGCGGCTCCCCCATTGCTATTACTCTGCTCTCCCCCTCCCCTCCCCCCAACCCGTGTCGTCTTGTTCGCCATTCTCGTTCAACACATTGGGTGTACTCCTTTTCCCCCAACCAGGCTATTCACGGCGGGCGGGGAGGTGGACTCGGCTCTAGGCAGCTTCCTGATGTGTCTCATGATGAGCCACGAGCAGGCGAGTGGGGGTACGGTAGTGGGGGCCAGAGGGGTGGGGTGGGGTGGGGTGGGGTGGGGTGGGGTGGGGTGGGGTGGGGTGGGGTGCGGGTAAGGGAACAACGTGGAACTGGTGCAGGTGTTGCTTTTGAGAGAATGCGTTGGAGGGTAAGGTCCCTGACACGTTGCCGGCGTGTGACTCGGTCGTGGACGGAAGACCTCAGACTGTCAACTGAATGGATGCGGTAGACTTAGTTCAGTTCTGCGCTGGGTCTCCATATTCACTAATCTTGCTGGCCCTACAGGACCCCGATCCGGACCGCGACACGACCCGTGGGTCAGCGGAGCGCTACGCCCGCGACCAGGGCTGCGAGGACCTGCCTCCTGGGGAGCCCGAGTGGCAGGTGGGGAAACGTACCGGGACCAGAATCGTATTCAATTCAATTTTTTTCATGCATCCAGAGAGCTTTCCTATGTACACAAGGGCAAATGGCAACGTCGCTAGGGGCTGGCAGCCAAAGTGGCTTATAGCCGCTATGGCCTTCCACAGCTTTCTCCTTCCTGTGCCGTCCCCAGCCATGCTGAACCCAATCATATACTTCATCCGTTGCGCACCCTTGCGCAGGTTCCGCTGGGTATGCTGCAAATTGAATCCGTCGCAGCCGCCAAGGCCGCCGCTGCCGCCGCCGCAAACAACCCCGACGACGCAGCGGCGACAGCGCTTCCCGAGCACGACCCAGACGAGCTGCTGGCGGCGCTGTCACCTGAGCCCCGGCAGCGGCCGCAGCAGCGACAGCAGCAGCAGCAGGCGGCGGCGACGGAGGCAGCGGCGGAGGGATCGCCGCCACCCAACTCGGCACCACGACCCGAGGTACGGCATGAGGTTGGGGTACGGCATGGGGGGACCCAACGTAGCCTACATATCTGCCCCGTGTGTAGCTGAACATGTGGGTTTCGTGAAGTCATGGATGTACCGGTATGGCCCGCAAGCCTGGGTTCTAGGTGGGGGAATTTTGCAGGTGCGTCATTGACCATTTGTAAGGCATGGTTGTGGTGCACCAATGGCAGTGGTGCAGTGGACGACGGCAGCACGGTAGTACCGCACCGGCGTTAGGTAGCAGCAGGTGGAGTGCCCTCGCTCTCCTGTCCATCCCCCTTGCCCCATCCGCACCTCACCTCATCCCACCTCTTGCAGGCCGCGCTGCTCGACAGTCCCTACTACGCCGGGGCGCCTGGCGGGCGGGGCGGCGGGGCGGCTGTTGGGGGCGGAGGCACTGAGGGAGGCGGCGGAGGTGGAGGTGGCGGATACTTTGCCGGCGGCGGCGGCGGCGGTGGGGGATGTTTTGCCGGCGGCGGCGGCGGAGGTGGGGGCGGAGGTGGAGGTGCAGGAGGCTTTGCCGGCGGCGGTGATGGAGGCGGCGGAGGTGGAGGTGGTGAAGGAAGCTTTGCTGGCGGGGGCGGCGGCGGAGGAGGCGGTGACGGTGAAGGACGGGCCGGAAGAGGAGGAGGCGATGGAGGCTCAACCCTCGACGGTAGCGGCGGCGGCGGCGGAGGCGCCGCACGTCGCAGCAGTAATGCTGGCGCCGGCGGCGACGGCAGTGCTGGTGCGGGAATGGCTGAACGCGTTCCTGACGGAGGCGGCGGCGGAGGCGCCGCAGGCGCTGGCAGCGTTGGTATGGCCGCAGGCGTGAGAGGGGTGCGCAGCAGCAGTGCTGGCTCGGGACGGGGTCTAGGTCGCTTGCTGGGAGTGCTGTCGGGCGGCGGGGGAGGCCGACCCATGGGTCCGTCAGACCCGGCGGCTGGGACCGGAACTCCGGAGGCAATGGCGGCGGCGAGTGGACCGGGCGGCGGGGGCGCACGGCGGGTCCTGTTCGATGACGATGTGGACAACCGCGGTCGACGACTGCAATGGGTACGTGGGTTTGTCTGCCGTTGGCAGGGGGAGAAGCACAGGAGTTGGAGTACACTTTGCGGGTGGCAACAGGAGTGTGGGAGCAACCAACGCATCACGCCTCGCTGCCAAGCAACACACGATCATGCATGCGCCTTACTGTTGCCATATGCACGCACGTCCTGTCACGTGGCACGATGCAAAGCACCAATATGGCTCGTGCCGTCCCCTTCACTCCTCATCATCCTAAGCTCCTAACCCATGCGTTTCCGCACACTGTCGTACACCACTGCCGTACACACGCAGCTCCGGCTGCCCGAGCTCATGGACGAGGACGACAGCCAAGCCCACCAGCTGCTAGCCGAGTTGGGCGCTAGCATCACGGAGCTGTACGGCACTCCGCTGGATCCTCCGCCCGCTGATGATGACGAGGATTCTGCCTCCGTCGCCGTTGCGCCCGGCATCAGTCGTGAGTCCGCTGCCCGCTGGTCCGAGGCGCTGGTGTTTGAGCTGCTGCGGCGGGACGCGGCGGTGGCGGCGGGCGGGTGGCGGGTGGAGTGGGTCAGCGGGCGGGAGGAGTCGCGGCTGGCGCCGTACGATATCCTGCTGACACGTGGAGAAGGTGGGTGTATACCGGCACGTGTCCCAAGCAACCAACCAAACCCCCGCCCTGCCGTCCACCTCGGCGCCGTGTGTCCCTTTTATCAGGACAGCTGACGGCCCGCTTGCTCCCTTCTCTCTGCCCTGTGCGCCCTATCCCCCGTTCCCTGTTCCTTACTCCCCACCCATCCTGTGGTTCTTGTATATCTCTGACCCGTCCATGCTTAGGTGCCAGCCTGGAGCAGGTGTTTGTGGAGGTGAAGAGCAGCACCTCCTGCAACAAGAGGAGCTTCGAGGTCAGCACACAGGAGCTAAGCAAGGCGGCGCAGGAGGGCAGCAGGTGCGGGGTATGGCGGGGCGTGGCGGGCGGTAGATAGTGGAGGTTATGGGGAAGTGGGTGAGTCGAAATGTTGTGCTGGCTCTGCTGGGGCAGGGTGAGGGCCGGGGAGGCAGTGCGAGCAAGCCGTCCGTAGCGGCTAGTACAGTTACAGTTACACTCTGTACGCGTGTTTTAGTGTGTTTGTACGAGCCAGGGAGGCCAAGGACACTATAAGAAAGGACTGTATATAGTAACAGCAGGAATGGATCCGCAATTCCGTTGCTATCAGCCGCGCTGCTGCTGCACGTGTGGAGGAGCATGCAGCGATACGTCGTGAAGAAAAGCAGCCCCGTGTATCCTCCTGCACTCCCAGCAGCCCCCACCCTATCTGCGCCACATTGTTGCACTCCCCACTCGCCCATTGTTGCACCACCTCACCCACCCCTGGCGCAGGTACATCATCTTCCGGGTGCTGGGTGTGGGCGACCTGGCCTCGCTGGAGCTGCTGGTGCTGGCCGACCCGTGGGACATGTGTGCACGCAAGGAGCTGCGCCTGTGTCTGCTGACGGGATAATGCATTTGTTAGGTCTTCATGTGTGTGTTTAGAAAAAAACTGGCCGCCAGTCGGAACGTACTGTGATTGCCGGAAAATGAAGTTCCCACAGAAACGCCATAGGAGCCATGTGTATTCACGCAAGGAGGTCGTGGGCGGTGTAGGTCCTGTCTGGCGCAGTATCACTTATTAATGGACTTGGCAATCGCTGCTGCGACATGCAAGCAGCCCGGCAGACGCTGGCAAGGCTCCTGCAGGTGCCTATGCCTGCCTTTGCAAGCTTGCGGGGTTGATCGATGACCTGTCTGTTGCCCGAATATCTGCGGCAGAGTCCACCGTCGTACACTAGCTTTCCACGCACGCACTACTGTGTCAAGACCAGCAATAATTACCAGCAAGTGTTAGCAGGGCTCAGACGATCTGCCGTGGCTGGCATTGATGGCGCAGCTGTTGCCGAGCGACCTGCCCCGTTCTTCTCCCCTTAACCCCACGCACCTCAAAGATGCAACACATGGGGGGCCCGTGTCACACGGTTAACTTCCCGGCCCCATCCTGCTTGCCTGGGCAGACCACCTGCAGGTGATTCCCCCCTAAATGGAGGCACCCGGAGCCGCACCCTTCCTGGCTCCCACCTACCATTACGTGTTTTGGTATTTCTCGAACCACCGATGCGTGGTGTCATGTCATCATGCCATGCATGCCTAGTAGTAAGGGTAAGATTCAGTCATAGCACTGATCGTGGCTGTAGCACAACATCATCCATCCCCTTCCCCCCCTCCCCGCCCTCGCCCCATCTCCCCCGGCCCCCTTCCCCCCCTCCGCCCCCCAACTGTACACCGCCCTGCCGCCCACCCTCAGCCGCCGCATCCACCTCGGCCGGCACCGCACCCGCGCCCCCTGACCCCCCAATTATCTGAGGATTGAAGCCGCCATGTAACGCTCACAAATGACATTGCTCGCCGGCCGCCCGCTCGCCGTGGCTCTCAGTCCTTAGAATGCGAAAGTTACAAGGGGGACCGGAGTGCCTGAAAGCCTCAGTCCTTAGCCCGTTAGGAGGAATAGCGTCATTGTACGGCAGAGCTCATAAGCATTTGACGCGGCCCGAGCGCCTGGCAATGAAAATGCGGGTGCATTAGGTACGGAACGTGATCACCTGTGGTAAGCACAAAATCGCTGCACCGAAGGACGCTGGAAGACGGAGGGACCACGCTAGCTCGCGTTAGTGTACGTCAGAGCTCGTAAACTTTTAACACGGCCAAGGCGCCTGGCATGGAATGTGCGGGTGCAATAGGCACGGAAGCTGATCATCGATGTTCAGGGCGAAACCGCAGCGCGGAAGGATGCAGGAAGACGGAGAGACCGTACTAACTGCAGATTGGACGGAGGAATACGGAGGGACCGCAATTGTGTGAGACGCCGCTGTGTTGTGAACGGGCCGCAGCGACTAAAAACGCATGAAGAAAACGGCGGTGAAGAACATAAGCTAATTGTGCGTAGGAAAAGAGGCGATGCCACAAGTGCAAAGCGGTTATACAACCAACTGTAGCCTCAGCCCCCTGACCTCTTTCCCAACATCTGCTACCCAGATCCCTTAGCGGTACCTGTTCATTTCTTAGCAATCCATACTGGGCGAAAGCAAGAGAAGGCAGTGCTAGGTGTGCGGCACATAGTAACGGTCGATGAACTGTAGCCTGCGGCTGTCCTTTGTGACTTGTTTGTGACACGCTACCGCCTCCCATCCCCTTTGCTTTGCCCTTACTGTGGTTTCCTATGGGTTGGTATGTTGTTGATTCCCCAATCCGCTACCCGCCTGCCCTCACACAATCAAACCCTTTCCCAGAGTAGAAATGTTTACGGGCTAAATGGCCCACCAACGAATATTGAGCTAGAAGTGTGATGAATGGCGTTCATGTGATCAGACCAGGATGCGCCTCATCATCTTTAGTCATCCAATGTCCCCCACCTCCCGCCCGCCCGCCCAATCCGCGCACGGGCCCCCTCCCTCCCCCCAACTTAACCCCTCACTCCGTCCCCCCAACGCTAACCCTCACTAATTTGATTGCATCCAGCCACCACATATCCCCTTTGCGTTGCCCTTACTAAAATTTCCTATGATATGGGATATCCTTTAACCCCACCCGCTACCCACCAACGAATATTGAGGTAGAAGTGTGATGAATGGCGCTCATGTGACCAGACCAGGAGGCGCCTCATCATCTTTAGTCATCCAATGTACCCCACCTCCATTCCCCCCCGCCCAATCCGCGCTGTGCGTGAGAGGCCGTGCAGACCAGCCCCTCCCCTAACCGTAGGTGGCAGCACGATGACTTGATGCGTTTTCGGGTGTACTAGAAGCACGGGGACGGTGAAAAATGAGGCCCTTCCCCTACCACAGCCATGATGGAGACCCCCATGCCCCCAAACCGGTACCCTTCCTAGTAGTGCAAATGCCCCCGCTAGCCGGTGAGCTAGTATAGCTGACAAGGCGACCCAACCGTAGGTGGCAGTACCCCTCGCTCCCCCCAACGCTAACCCTCACTAATTTTATTGCAACCAGCCACCACATATCCCCTTTGTGTTGCCCTTACTAAAACATCCTATGGTTTGGGATATCCTTAAATCCCCCCCGCTACCCGCCTGCACTCCCCTAACCCTCCCAAGAGTAGTAATTATCAAGAAAAAAATGAAATATCTCACCCGTCCAGGTGCCTCACCATCCTCCGGCTCAACAAAAACCCTAGCCATCCAGTGTCCCCCGCCCCCCTCCCCCTCCCCCGGCCCCCTAGCCCACCAATCACTAGGAACAAAATTAGCCCTCTGACTTTTGGTGTTGTCTAGGTTGACCGGAGCGAAAAAATGCCAAAAGCTCACCAAATGAATACCTGCTTTTGCCCATGAGTAGGTATAGTGACAAGTAGTAATGGGTTGCCATTACTCTAAGCTCTGCGACATCTGAGCGCTTGGACGGTCCTACCGTTCGTAGTCAATGCCGTACAAGAGCCGGTGCAAGAGGCCGGACCCCCCCAGTGCGGCCCCCATGCATTCGCAACACAGGAGGTATAATGCAATCCTAATAATATATTCTATGGGGCAATGTCGTGACGAGCTATGGGCAGTATATTTCTGGTCTGCATGGCGCGCGGCTAGGATGTGAGAGGAGTCGACGTGCCTACAAACACCGTATCCTGCTTTACGAAAATCCTCAGGGCTGACTTTAATCACGCCATGCAGCGGCTTTTTGTTTGAGCCTGATATCGGCATTGCAAGCAGGGATGCTGACACGAGCGCACTACCAGAAACTGCCATCCTGATAAGCCGGGAACTATTGCTCATGACAAGGCAGACACTTCTGTGACAGGGGTATGGTGTGCAGAGTTTGTCCAATTTTGGGAGGATGTCCATTCCGTTCACCTGCACTCTCGGCCACGCCATTCCCATGTAGCTCACTTGCATGGACCATCCTTGCAACAGTAATTACACATGACAGTGCCCTTTATGAATACCGGGGCGGCACTGGCCGCGAAGCAATTAATCCAACAAGACGGGGTTCGACAAGGGTACCACCCCTTTCACCGGCATTTTTGCTCCTAGTGAATGAATATTGACCTCAAAGTGCGGTGGTGCCGTCCATGTGACCAGACCAGGAGGCGCCAAATCATAATCCGGCTCACCAATAACCATAGCCATCCAACGTCCACCATACCCCTTCCCCCCCGCCCAATCCGTCAGTCTTCCTTAATTTTACTATCCCCCGCCCAATCCGCGCTGTGCGTGAGAGGCCGTGCAGGCCAGCCCCCCACCCCCTAACCGTAGGTGGCAGCACGATTACGTGACGCGTTTTAGGGTATACAAGAAGCACGGGAGGGTGAAAGGAAAGTGAGGCCCCTTCCCCTGCCACAGCCATGATGAGGACCCCTGTACCCCCGAACCGGTACCCTTCCTTGGCGTTCATGTTATCCGTCCAGGTGCCTCACCTCCGGCTCATCAATAACCATAGCCGTCCAGTGTCCCCCACCCCCCCCCGCCCCCCCCTAGCGACCCGGTTTGTTCCGTTTCTTTTGCAATGTAGGGTTGGGTTCATCACCCGTGTTCCCTTTTAGGGCACCATTGTAACGGTCATACATTCATTTATTCCCCCACCACCACTACCTGCGCTGTGCTCGAGCGGCCATGCAAGCCACGAGGCCCCCCTTGCCCCCGAAACGATACCCTTCCCAGAAGTGCAAGTCCCCCACCTAGCCGTTACTTGCTCCCCATGCCGTGGGCTAGCATAGCTGGCAAGGCATGCGCAAGCGCCCTTCTTTTCCTATCGTCATCATTGACTGCCACGTACTATGTGCTTTTACGTTTGCTTTTCACCAAACCATGATTTGCTGCAAGTAAGAGCCCGTGTCGTTGCTGTACCATACAGCTGAACAATACACCTCAAGTTGCCTAAGAAAAGAATAACGGGCCAAGGGCTAAGTTGCCAAGTCACACGCTTCATGTAGGGGGTTCAGGTCAGGAGAAATAGGGCACGATCCTAGGCTCGCCGCCCCTGCCGGGCTGGCTGAGCGCGCCCATGGCCCGAAAGATCCCTGGCGCCGTAATCAACAAAAGCGGTCCGAGATAGGTGAGTCACGCAATACGTCATGGCATCGTACGTTGGCTCGCCCCGATTAGGGGCGTAGTCTTAGCGTTCACTCAAAATTGTCCGAGCCGAGGCGTTATGTCCTTTTTGTACCGTGTGCATGTCCTATGTGTACCCTTGTACAGTTTGTATGTACCTGCACCGAGGTCTCAGATTCGGTCGGACAAGGTGGCGTAGTAATTGGTGTTGTGTTTTGAATACAATGGCATGTCGGAAAAAGTAAGAGGCTCGTATGTATGTGTTACAAGCTTCGTACCGAGCTCGTAAGATCCGTCCGAGCCAGAAGGCTCATGGATCGCGAGCACAAAACGCGAAAACAACCAAAAGAAGAAAAGTAAACAAAAGAGACAACAAACAGAACGCTAATCATATGATAAACCCTGTCTGCGCAATCCTGCGACTTCGCATGCTAGTGATTACGCTAGCAAGCAATGCCTGATTCTCCATGCCCATGACAGCAATCATATCAGCATCCCGTGGGACACCACTTTCCCATATCTTATCACGCAAATCATCGTAAGCGGGACATTCAATGAGGATGTGTTTCTCATCTTCCACTCTCCCCGGCGACCCCTGCACGGCACACATAGGACAGACACGCGCTACTCGTTGCCTACCCCTAGGGCGATTGGCTTCAATGCCCCACACACACAGCCGAAAACGCATCAGGTTCACATGCTGCCGCTGAGTAATGTACCCCCTGTCAACCGGGTCACCCATCCAATTTTTGTACCTGCACATCTTAACTCCAACCCCTGGTACGGGGTCTACTGGGTTGAAAAGCCGCGGGTCATCTTCCAAACTCCTATCCTCCCAATCCGCATCCATTCTATCAGCAAACTTTTTAGTGAGAGCAGACACATTTAGCTCCGTGCCAGCAATACGTTCCACACGCGCATTCAAGTCCAATTCACCCCCCAAGGCCGTCAAATCCGTCCCTAACATTTTCAGAATCTTCAACACCTTAGAACCCCAGCCATCATAATGCTCAGTACTGAGAGCCGAACGAATTTCACCTCGCAACGTCTGGTGGTAGACCGTGTCCTTCTGCTTGACCAGGTCATTCCAAAACCTCAGAAACAGTTCCAGCCAGAAGACATGCAAGGGACGCTGGTTAAACTCCTTAAACAGCAACTTATCAGGCGAGACTTTCACACCCGCAATCTCCCGAAGAAATTCCCTTTGTAACTGCACCATTGGGTCCCGCAAGGATCTGTCAAAGTACCTCGCGGAATTCTCGCAGTCCGTCATTAGCTTCAGCACCACATCAGGCCCCCACACCTGGACACCGTACGACAAGATGGAGCGGACTTGCACGTCGAAGCACTTAACTGCAACAGCAGGGACCAAAAGACCTAGGCGTTTTAATTTACGCTGAAGAGAAAACATAGCACGTCGGCCAGAGGTCAACAGTTCCTCTGTGCAGGAAACAAACGGTGTGCCAGGACCAAAGTGCAAACCAAGGTAACGGGCTCGTTGTACCCAAGGAATAACCATAGGTACTCGCGCATTTCCCTCAATAGAAGTCCACACCACGGGGCAAAGGGCAGCAAAAGCCTCGCGGATATTGGCACGAGGGTGGAAAACCATCAATTCACATTTACGAACATTCACCCGCATCCCAAAGGCCTCACACCACTCTCTCAAATCAGCAAGCAACACAATCAGCCGTCTGTGCGTCGTAGCGAAAAGGCTGAGGTCGTCGGCATACAGTTCCAACGGGATACGCCGGCCATCCGCATGGGGAGTCTGCTGCTTAGCGCGCATAGCATCAGGGAGCCACTTATCCTTAGCGTCAACATAGTCAGCAAACCCCTCGCCAAAAATCCCGTAAAGCGTAGGGCTGAGAGGGCATCCTTGCTTGACTCCCTGCGAAGATTCAAAAGGATCCCCCGTCACTCCGTCTACCCTGACACGCATCATGACCTTGTTGTAACAAGTCTTGAGAGCCTCCAGCATAGCGCCATGCACACCCCGTTCCTCCAACCTTAACCACAAGAGATCACGTGGCACCTTGTCAAACGCTTTCTCAAAGTCAATCTGACAAACGAACAGGGGGTCAACTGCATCTCGCCCCCCCTTATGTTTGTCCGTCAGATGTCGCAACAAAAACAGGTTGTGGCAGGTACCCCGTTTGCGTCGGAAACCTCCCTGATACGGCGACCTAGCTCCCACCAGCTCGCCCCAACGAGACAGCCTGTGCTCCAACATAAACGCATAAAGCTTAGACAAAACACCACCCACTGCTAAACCCCTATAGTTACCCTTCTCCATCACATCGCCTTTTTTGTGGATGGGCGTGAGCGCAGAGACCTCAAACTGCACAGGATAATCCCCCGTGCTGCGGATATGCTCTAGTAGCTTGAGCAGGTAAGGGGCTAAAACAAACATCCTTCTACCCTCAACCTCTCTCGTCGCACACTTGAAACATTCAGCCGGTACTCTGTCCAAACCCCCAGACTTGTTATTACGCAAAGACTTCAGCGCAGCAATGACTTCCGCCAAGGTGAACGGAACATTGAGCGCAGCAGCAGCGGTGACTCGTGCTACCCGATCGCCTGTCGCCCTTACCCATCCTCTTCCCCTCCCATGTGGCACACCGTTGATGGTACTAAGGATGGTGTCCGCGGAAACTTCGTTAAACGCATTGACTTCCCCATTAAACAGCGCATTAAAGTAGGCTCCCCAACTGTTGACATCCGTGATAGGGCACCCCTGACTAAATCTGCCATTCAGCCGACCCCACAGCGCCCGTGGATCCCCCCGACATTCTTCGATAACTCCTTCAAAATGCATGACCCGGAACTTGTCCTTAGCCTCCCTGCGTAGACGTTGATACTTCGTGCGCAACCGACTGAACTCAGCTCTGGCATCCTGATCCCCCAGCAGACCGTTAGCACGCATGAGCGCCTTTTGAGCAAACATGGCCTCACGGGCTTCCGCACACTCATGTGTCCACCAAGGCGCATCCTTGTCCGTCCTGCCTGCACTAGGAATGGACCCTTGCCCCCTCTCAAGACGAAACGTGGCGTCAATAGCCTTCTTAAGAGCCCGACAGATCACTGTAACAACCTCCGTACTGTTAAGACCATGGCCCAGTTGGCTAACAGCCTCGTCAATCTTCTGTACGACAGCAGCATCTTCTACCTCAAATAGGCGCGTGTACCGCTCCCACTCACGTTTCCCCAGGCGAGAGGAACCCGTGTTGCCACCCCTTCGCGTTCCTCCTAATCCAACGTCCAGAGTGAGTGACACCGGGCAGTGATCGCTGAGCCTCGATCCCACTTTAGGCCCCTCTATAGCAATGGGGATGCCAAGCACTTGCAAATGCGACGCCCGCGAGAACAAAGCAGGCGTGCAGACAAAAAGATCAATCATACTGCAGGCAAGGCCGTGGGCGTGGTAGAACGTGAACTCACCCTCCATGTCACCGGGCACACGACCATTCATGATAATCAGTTCAGTTTCGCGGCACAGCTCGACCAAACCTTGCCCAAATGGGTTGCTGGATGGGTCCTTACTGCGCCTGCTCGGCATGCCTTGAATGAGCCCATTACCTCCGATCGACACACCTGCCGCCGCCTCCAGTTCAGCATCAGCCTGGAGATCTGGTATATCACTCAAGCTGGCTACTCGCGCATTGAGGTCCCCCAAAATGAGGATTTCATCGCATGGACGCACATATCTTCGCAACAAGGCACGGAGTCGACCAAAAACACGATCCACGGTGTCAGTACGCCTTCTACCCGCATGGTCATTGTACTGAACAGAACCTTGGGGTGCTGCATAACAGGCTGCTATCAGCAAACTACGCCCCCCCATATTAAGAGCATGCCCTTTCACCCTTAACCAGATACTCTCCATGCCCTTAGGAACCTTAGACACACCAAGGAGCTGCACATCCCTAGCTAACATACGATTTACCCAGACAGCTACCCCACCTCTGTTGGGCGTGCCATCTACTGTGAACAGGAGCGTACCCGACGGTAGCATCTCCTTCACTACCGTATCTCCCACTAAATGCGTTTCCGTAATCACCACAATGTCATAACTACCCGCTATACCCCGTAACTCATTGTTATCAAGTTTCCAGTCCTTAAGCCCGCGAATATTCCATTGTACTACTTTCAACGCACCAGCCCTCTGGCTCGGACTCCTCTAGGTGTCCTCCATGGTGTCCGCTCCTGCCGGGGCCCCGTAGGGCCCGGTGTAGGGCACCAATCTCCCATCTGCTCCCACTATCTTGATCTCCGCTCCGCGGTCCCAGCGGGGCTGTTTGCCCTCGGCCTTGAGGCGCGCGTACGTGGACTGGCGTCTCGTCTTCGCGTCCACCCCGGCCTTGGTCAGGCAGTCCTGGACGTTGATGCCGTAGCGCTCCCGGAGTGGCTTGCCCAGTGCCGCCGCGACCGTCTTGCGTGCGTCCTCGTGCACCAGCAGGTCTACCCGCGTCATGGGTGCCTGCTGCCGGCCACCCTGCGCCGGGGCTGCGGCAGCCGCGGCATCTGCTGCGGCGCCTCTCGCTCCCAGCTTCGGCGGCACGGTGATGAGCTGCACTCCGATGACATCGTGCGGGCGTACCTCCTTGAGGATGCTGGGAACAATGGTGTGCAGTTCCGACACGTGCTGTGGCGGCACACGCAGGATCAGCTTGCGAGGCTGCACGTACTGCTTGGTGCTGCTTGCTTCCACCGCCTCCAGCCTCCCCTCCAGGGTATCCATTCGCGACTGCACCTTGGCCAGACCAGTGCACATCTCATCATGCCTAGTCTCGATCTTCTCAAGCCGCTTGTCCAGCCGGTTCTCTAAGTTTTGAATCGCCGCCATGAGATCAGAGAGGCTCGGCTGCGGGTTGCTGCCCGCAGGCCCCGATCCATTGCGGCTGCCGGACATAAGAGGCTCAGAGCTCAGAAGACATAAGAGGCTCAGAGCTCAGAAGACGACCCAAATGTCGTACATATTGGCGGAAAGAAAGTGCTGTTGGCGGGTCTGTCTAGGTGATTCGTAATTTCCATAGCAATGTCATTGTAGTGTTGTAAAGCTGGAACCAACGTTTAGCCCAGAAGCCAAGGATAAGTTGGCTCTTGTTGTGCCTCCCTCAAGGCTGATTTGCCTATTGCAAGAAACTCAACTGGTAAAGCTGCTATTTCTGCTATAATGTAGAAAGTTTAGTTGTAATTCAATACAAACAGCTTAGCAAAGGCTGCTGCTGCCGCGGCGACCGCAGAGCCAAAAGTGGGCATCGTCCCGCTACATTCACATTTACGTTCGTTCATTCATTTCGTTCGTTCAACGGCCACCGCTGAAAAGTGGATCGCACGATGTGCTCGTTTGGCGTATTCGATGCGTCCCTCGCCCGACCTGGCCTTTGTCGCAATCCTGTGGGCTATCGCTCTGGCGATTGCTTCTTTGATGCCTTTCGTTGGCTGTTGTTCCAGCAACGCGGAGTTGATGTGGGTGTACCAGCAGTGCGTCAAGCGGGGAATGGCGAATTTCGCCGGTGTTATGGCGTTTTTGTGGAAGCCTACGCACGAGCGCGCATATTGGACCCTGCCACACCGCATGCAGAGCTTAGGCAGGGGGTTAGCGCGCAGTTCGAAACCGACAATCCACACGTGTCGCTGGCTGCAAAAACAGCCACGGCCATTCCTAACGAGCCGAGATATGCACGCACCGCTGCATCAGAATGCGCCGCTGTGGCTGCTTACTGCACGGACATGCTATCGCTGGGAGAAGGGCCTGTGGTCACAGCGGCATGGGCGAACGAAAACATCATACACTGGGTAGCAGTTGCCTTTCACCTTGACCGATGGGATGCCGATGGCTTTGGGTGTCGTGCTCTTTCTTACGCATATGGCGGCAACAGCGAAGAAATGCGCTTGACTTTTTTTGCGGGTCATTACGAACCAGTTGTACGGGCAGACCCCACAGCCCACACCTAGCAGCCGCCAACATGCAAGCATCCAACGAACCAAACCCAAACCTCAATCGCCGATCTAACCCCAATCTAGCCCAACAGCATTGCTGAAGTTGTGCGACCAGGTGCTGTTAGCCGCAGAGAGGCTGTGCATTGGCATACAATAGGCATCATCTTGACGCAAAAGGTGGGACAACCTACCCCTCCTTGCTAACAGGCTGTTTGACTGTGTTTCAATGGCGCGTGATAACTGGACGCACTGCGCTCGTCTTTTTATGGCGGTGGGCCAACCTAGGTTTTCAAGCATGGCGGACTGTTTTAGCAAATGTCCGGTGGTGCACCTGCATGCATACTTTGGGATAGAGGAGGCTGGTGGTGCACCTAGGGTTTTGCTCTTGTCGACCCATGTTCCCGTTTCCACTAGCTCTACACACCGCCAAACCTCGCGTCGAATCACGGGGAAGCAGGATCCCACAGGCACGCCCACGGACCGCACTGACGCTTCTATGCATAGCACTAACATGTAATACGCATCCCAACTGTACGACCTCCCTCCATTCCGTTCCAACGGAGCCGGCACCGATATGTCCTAGGCAAGACTTGATAGCGAGTTTGAATTTAATAAAGGGGGCGAGCCCCGGTGTCTGCGAAGCTGACGGGTTTGGGTTGAGCATGGTTGAAGTAGGCGGCCTTAAAGGGTGACCCGAAAGCCCCAGGCGCTGAAGACTAGGAGGGGTCTGACAGACCGAGTTGAAGCAGGCATACCGCTCTTAAATCTGTAAGGAACGTGAGGTAGAGATCCCTTTTCGTCTCTCTTCATTCAAGAGCCGCTCTCCGGGGCTCTTCACATGCACAAGACTTCAGGTCAGCCAAGACCAGCTCTACCATCGGTATACCTACAGGCCAGTAGCACCACTCCCCCGTAAAGCAGCAGTAACAAGCAAGGACAGCTCACCAGTTTCCAGCCATTATACCCAACCAGCTCGGCAAAGCAACCCCATACGAAACATGCATGAACTGTAAAGACCTTGCAGCTTCTGAGCAGAGCCATCGCATTCAAAACCACCATTACCACAGTGTTACCCAAAACCTAACCACCCTGCAACGGTACACAAGTGAACCCAAATCCCTGAGCCAAGTAGGTTACCCACACAGTAAACCCACATCGTCAGTCGCCATCGCCAGTCCAAATCGCTCATCGCGCCGACAACCGAACCGCAACGGTCAAGCATTTCGCAAGTGCCGCAACTGTTACAATTCCGCTAGCCCACGCATCTCAATGATAAACCATTAAGGGGAAGTGCTGCGCGTCGTTGAGTGTTAATACAATGGCAGGTACTACTGATCAGTTCCAAGGCAATACCCCAGGGTAAAGAGGAGGATAAAGAGGAAACAACTAACTGACTGAGTGATAAGGCGTCAATGTGGTTTGCAACATTTGAGCCAGCCCGACCCGCCAGGGTGGCCCGCCCGCATCGGCATCAGCAGTGCAGCGCAGGACCACTGAGTCATAGTCACTAAATAATACACTGCGGTAAATAGCGTTTAGTATACGCAGCACGATAAGGCATAGTCAGAGCGCAAACCTGCTGTACGCTAAACCTGCTGGGCACACAATAGCACGCGCCGACAACAAAACAAAGACAAAACAAATTTGCAACAAAACAAGACAAAACAAATTTGGATTGCCGCCCGCGCGAGTTGCACCGGGAAGCGGCCGCCGCAGAACACTAAAGAGAGGTTTCAAATTAATCGACACAAGCTTCGAAAGACACATGATAAGTGCGCTTACTTGTAAAGGAAACCTGTATGTGCGTGCAGTGCGTGGTTGGGGTAGGCGTGAAAAGAATGGTAAGCCACAGGTTAGGTCAAAGCATGTTCAACGATGCCAGGTAAAGGACTGTGTATGGGACATGTTCACAGTACAGTGGTCCAAACCTCGACGATACGTCCGACATACTCAAAACTACACGCACCCCAATCACCCAAATCTTAACCACCCATCAACGATCTGCACGCAATTCCAACCATCAAACCAAATAGCAAAGGCTGTCGTCAACGCTAAGAAGCTAGGTTAACCGTTGTCAACTTGCTGTCATCACCAGTAGTCGAAGTTGCCAGACACGTCAATGACCGAGCCACACCAAGTCACATCCGCATGCTGCCATGAGTTACAGACTTCGAAGTTTTCCCTCTCACGAGAGTTGCAGCCCAACGGCTGCCAGGTGCGGCAGGAGTGACTTACTGGAAACAGTCGCCCCGTTGACGTTAATCCGTACGGCAACCACAACCGCTGTGTTGAACTCATCAGCTGATGTCATCATGGCGGCCGCATCAGACAGTTGCAGGGTAGTTGCGGCCGTTGCAGCAGATACGGCAAAGTAATTGAGTCCCGGACACTTCAGCACCTGGCCTGTACTGCCTCTGTACAGGGTCACCCACTGGGTGTGGTACGAATGGTAATGTAGCAAGGAAGCAAGAGGGTGAAGGTTGCTTGTCATCAAAGGAGCTATGCAATGGTGAATGCGGGGCAGGGAACTAGATAGGACAAAAAATAAACAAGGAAGGGCCTCCTGGTACAACCCATCCGCACCCGCCAAACACAACAGGAACAGGCCATCCCTCCCCTTTCCTTTCCACAACAGGAATCTTCCACCCCTCCCTCGCCCCCACCCCGGGTACAGTGTTCCCAACCAGCAGCCCTGCTTCCCACCTGCTCATAGCTGCTGCTGTTGGCACCACCGGTCACCACCCTCTCCCTCCGGAGCAGCAGGTCGATGGAGGCAATGGCGGGGTTGAGGGTGCCCTTGTTGGTGACATACAGCGCCACAGCCGCCACCTGACCGCCCCGTGCAGCGGGGGTCTGGTTGAAGTAGGCCATCACGTAGCGGGGGGCCTGGATTGGGGCAAGATCTGTCAATGGAAGGTTGCAAGCAGAGGTTGGGCACAAACGGATGGCTTTAATGTGTACCGTAATGGGTGCGAACTGACGAAACATGCACGCAGCTGCTATACATCACCCCTGCCTGCCAATCCGCTACCTGCTGCTTAATGACTTACTGTCTTAGTCGGCACCCAGCTGACGTCAGCTGTGGGTTTGCAGGCCTTTGGCGAGGTCCTGAACTTGAGCTCGGGTGCCCCCACTATGAAGCCCGCAGAGCCGGCAGTCTGAAGCTGCTGAGGCTGAGGGTGTGCATACATATATACATGTGGCAAAAACCGAATGTGGTCAGTGCCTTCAACGCATTTAATAAGGGCACTGGCAACCACCTAAACTGGTAAACTTTAGCAGTCAAGCAACATCTAAAAATGCCTCCATCCACCAGCTGGTTCTATGTTAGGTAGCTACCTAACTTCTGCCGCTACGCAGCATATATAAGTGTGCACTTATTACAGCAGTACCCACATTGGGGCCAGAGGCATAGGTAGCCCAGTACATGGCTGGAGGTGATGGTGCCGGTGAGGGGTGTGGGGCCGAGGGTGGTGATGGTGGCCGAGGAGACAGGGATAAGGGTGAGGGAAGTAGAGGTGAAGGCGGTGAAAGTGGGGGGGGTCGAGGTGGTGGTGGTGAGGGTGAAGGGGGTTGAGATGATGGTGGTGGTGGAGTGGGAGGCCGTGGTGATTGGGGTGGGGGTGAGACAGCAGGTGTGAGAGGTGATGGAGACGGAGGCAGGCTGTGTATTGGGGACGGGGGAGGCTGGGGACTGCTAGGGGACTGCGGGCTGTGTGGGGATTGTGGGGATTGTGGTGAACGGAGGGGCAGAGGGGTGGGGCTGGGGGTAACGGATGGCAGGCTAGGGGGTGGAGGGCTGGGTGGCGGGGGGGGAGGGGAAGAGCTGTGAATAGCTCGAGGCGGTGGTGGTGGGGGTGGTGGCCTTGGAGAAGGAGGCGGGGGAGACGGGGGCGGTGAGGGTGGAGGTGAGGGTGGAGGCGAGGGTGGAGGCGAGGGTGGCGGAGAGGGTGGCGGAGAGGGTGGCGGAGAGGGTGGCGGAGAGGGTGGCGGAGAGGGTGGCGGAGAGGGTGGCGGAGAGGGTGGCGGATAGGGTGGAGGCGAAGGTGGAGGCGACGGTGGCGGAGAGGGTGGAGGCAAGGGTGGCGGAGAAGGTGGAGGCGAGGGTGGAGGCAAGGGTGGTGGAGAAGGTGGAGGCGAGGGTGGCGGAGAGGGTGGCGGAGAGGGTGGAGGCAAGGGTGGTGGAGAAGGTGGAGGCGAGGGTGGCGGAGAGGGTGGAGGTGAGGGTGGTGGTGAGGGTGGAGGTGAGGGTGGAGGCGAGGGTGGCGGAGAGGGTGGAGGCGAGGGTGGTGGTGAGGGTGGAGGTGAGGGTGGAGGCGAGGGTGGCGGAGAGGGTGGCGGCGAGGGTGGTGGCGAGGGTGGCGGAGAGGGTGGAGGCAAGGGTGGCGGAGAGGGTGGCGGAGAGGGTGGAGACGAGGGTGGAGGAGAAGGTGGAAGCAAGGGTGGTGGAGAGGGTGGAGGCGAGGGTGGAGGCGAGGGTGGAGGTGAGGGTGGAGGTGAGGGTGGAGGTGAGGGTGGTTGTTGAACCAGAGTAGTACAGCTTGTTGGAGTTGACCTATCTAATCTGTATTGGTAGACCACTGTGGAATAGCAGGAAATGCGTACGCAAAGGTATAGGGTAAGCATGAAGAAGGATTATGACAGAATGGCATAAAACTGCTCCCAGCAAACCTGGTGGACTACGCTTCCTCACGTTTAATAACGCCAACCATGATACACGCAGGCTGCCATATTTGCCATTTCTCTCTAGTTCGGGACCAATTGTATATACCCTAGTCCAATCAAACGTACCTTGGTCTTGGCTGTAGTATAACAACGCCATCTTGTTCCAATACTGGAAACGGTAAAGGTTTCCGTATGTGTCGAAAACAAAACAATCCCCGGCATTAGCGCATTCTGAGTAAATCTTATTCCAGTATACAATATCGCTTTCTCCGGCACTCCTCCCGATGGTCTTGTAGGCACTGCGCAAGTCCAGTCAAGTCTGGTCGGCGCAAGTTCATATTAATAGAGTATCAACGGTTTACTTACGTTCCGTTAATGGCAGCGTTCGTATAACAGTTGAAAGCGGTAAAGAATACTGCGGAAAGCCGCGATGGCAGGGTCAGTAACGTACCACAATAAGGGAGGCCAACACGGTAACACCACATGGAGCGAGAAAAAGACGCTACAGGAATGCCAGACATTTCATATAGGCTTACGGTCCGTTGATAGGGCGCCTCCCACCAATGAAGCCCTGGCCACACGTAGAGAGTTGAGATAGGAAGCAAACTAAACGTTGGAAGAAATAAATTGCATTGTCAAGAAGTAACACACTTACAGAAGGAGAAAAAGTATGAAGGCCGCCCGCATTTCTCCGGCCTCAAGCTCGCACCTACAGGCCTCACGCCTTAGGCTAACTGTTGTATATCCTTAGTGGTATTCAAAAATGCCCAATAAATGCGCTTACACGCACGTTACCGCCGCTGCCTATATTCCGGTGCATCAGGGCCTTATGATTCCTGATAGCTCGTTAGTGAGCCAGGCACTTCTAGTATAAGGCTTCCTATCTAGCCGAAACCACAAAGAAGAAGCTCTTTAGTGCGCAGGCATTGAGGTGTGTACATGCCCTGTAGATGTTGCTAGCCGAGGAATCCGGTGGGAGCTTTCAGGAGCGGAAGCAGTGGCTGCGGCTTAAAACATTAATATCGTATCACAAAACAGAACAGTAATTGGTGCAGTTTTGAGAAAGATGCTTGGCGGGGTGGTCGGGCCTTATGTGGGATATAGGCAAGGTTTACGGCCCGGCACTTCAGTCAGTACAACAAATAGACTGCTCTATATGTATTTATTGTTTGATTACTGGCGACCAGTCGCTGAATGGTTACTAGCGCTCGATGTCCATGTCACTCCGACACGCACACCTCATGCTCAATGTTCGCCAGCTTTGGCATGTCGTACACGCCTTTACCAGTGGCGTGTAGGCAAAACCATGTCATCCAACTTAGTCACTGGTTTCACCTCTCTTGCTTGCTTGCTGTTGCTGTTCACAGACGTTAATGGCAAAAGCCCCCTGCTAGGCATGGGGTAGTGGCTGTCACTACATACTACGATATACATAAGCTGTTTAGGTAAATTGCGGGTACAGGAAGGAATAGAGGGCCCACGCCGTGCAACCGAACATTGCAACCGAACTCCCATGCACCATTACTGCTAAGTCGCGTCTAGGATCCCCGCGCCACCACCAAGTAAGCGGGCATGCCGCAACAGAGTAATTCCACTCGGGGTCGCCCCTTCCGCCCCTCCAAACATACATCGTTGACCCCATGCGTTTACCCCCCACCCATCATCATCAAGCAACAACATCATCCGGCCCTCATCCATCCATCCGTCCATCCATCCCCCCCGCCCCATCCCTCAGAACTCGGGCAGGAAGAAGCGGTGCGACAGCGCCTGGCCCACACTGAGCCGACCGCGGTAGTACTTGTCACGCTTGCTGGTGAGCCTGCACGCCAGGTCCCAGCCCGCCCCGCTGTTGCGGTCAAGCAGGGAGAAGTCGTACTTCTGCCCCTGCATGCAGAGGGGAGGCGGGGTGGGTGGGGGTAAAAAGGAGAAGCGGGGTGGGGGTGGATGGATAACCTGGGCTGCGAGGAAGCAATGACGCCTGACCATAGGAGGACTGGAAGATGGTGGGGCGTCCAACGAAAGACAGGGGAAGAAGATATGCGATGTGGTGTGGTGCCGTGGCGGCAGCCCAGGACCGTAGACCCAAGACCAGGAATGCCTCCAAGTTCAAGAAAGCGCTGTGACGGACGCCACCTTCTTGCAGCTACTGGGTGGCCTCCAGCAGGGACGTCAGGTCCCGCCACGCCAACCCCCACCCCCCATCTGACGAGGCTTCACCCTCGGTGAAGCCTCGTCATCCAGTTCGTCAGTTTTCCTTCTTTTTAACCCATCTCCTTACATGCTACCAGCTTCTCGCCGGCTTTATCCCACGCTGTTTCTAGCATGATGTCGATGCAAGGAGCCACCTGCAGCGGTTCCCCCCCCCATGCAGCCTAGTAGGCCCGCCCAGTATCCCGCCTGCCGCTGCCATGCACCAAGCCACCATGCATCTCACCCGGTAGGCCCGCCAGCGATTGAGGTCGTTGTCGTACTGCCGCAACTCCGTGTTGAACAGCCGGATGTTGGCCACGGGGCGCAGCTCGGGCACGCACATCTGCATCAGCAGCACTCCCGCGGTGTACGAATCGAACAGGTCCGGCCGGCCGTACAGCCAGGCGAAGGGCGACAGCAGCGCCGCCACGAAGGGCGCGGGAGCGCGGGGGAAGTCTGGAGGAGGGGGGAAGGAAGGAAGGGTGTCGGGGGGGAGGGAGGAAGGAGGCTTAGGACGAGATGTATGAGCACTATGAGAGGACTGGTTGTGGACGTGGCAGTGTCGGTCACTGGCTGGAAGGCAATGACGACGACGCTCGTCAACGCCTGTTCATCCTATATCTCCAGGTGCTCCACGGGAGCTCAACAGGTCAACATGGAGGAGACAGTTGGATTGTAAACCGGTGTCCACTGCTGTCCAAGCACCGCACCCCTCCCCGCCTCCCCAAACCCCGCCCCCACCCCTCCTTACTCGCCGGCATGACCAGCTCCTCAGGCGGGCAGTACCGGGGGTCCAGCATGCCGTACAGCGGGTTGAAGTTGATGCCCGTACACATGTCCACCGCGGCGCCGAAGTCGATGATCTTGACCTGCAGCCGGGCGGCACCATGACGACATGGGCATGCATGCACATGTGCATGTGCATGTTAGAGAAGCTGCTCATGACCCCCGCCTGAGTGGCAGACTGGGTGTGTAAAGTGGCTTGCAAGCTCTATTGCGCGCACGCATACATACACAGCGTGTGTGTCTGACGAAAGAAGACGACCGGGGCCTACATAGCCCGCTAGTCACGCCACTGTCCTTGCCCTCCCCCCACCTGTCCATCCACCGTGACCAGCAGGTTCTCCGGCTTGATGTCCCGGTGCACGATGCCCAGCGCGTGCAGCCGCCGCAGCCCCACCAGCACCTGCCGCATCACCGCCTTGATCACCTGGGGTTGCGGGGGGGGCAGGCGGGCGGGGGGGAGGGGTTGGGAGGGAGGGAGGGATAAAGAGGAAATACCGTGTGATAAGGGAGCGGGTGGGTGGGAGGGAGCGGGCGATAGGGAGCGGGGTGGAGGGTGCACTTGGCCGCTGACAATATTCTTTACACCCAACCTCCCTCTCCGCTCCCTCCCTCCCTTCCCATAGGCCCCCCGCACACGCACATTGATGTCCCGCTTGTCCTGCGCCGTCCCCTCCGCCGGCCCCCGCCGCCCCGCCAGCATGAAGCCCTCCAGGCAGGCGGGGAAGGCGCCCAGCCGCCCGTCCAGCGCGTCACCCAGCGTGGCGTCGCTCTCGAACTTCCACACCAGCCACTGGCTGCCCCTGGTGAAGGCGCCGTCCACAGTGGCTGTGCATTGCGGGAGGGTGGGGAGCGAAGGCAGGAGGGGAGGCAGGCAGGAAGGCGGGGGATTAGCGAAAAGGTCCGGCCTGCGGCGACGGCGTAAAGCACTGCAGATCGCTGCCACACGACTCTTGCCATCCGCGTGTCGCAGCGCGCTCCTCCTCCACACGCTGCCCGCCCATCAGAGCCATCCATCCCTGCCATGCCGCTTCGCCCCCTAATACTCCTTTACTTGCCCTCCCTTTCCCCCTTCGGCCCTTCGGGTCTTCTCTCCTGCACCCCTCCTCCGCCCTGCCCACCTTCTCTGCCACTCGGTAGGGAACGATAAACCTCACTTTGTCTTGCGGCACCCTGCCTCCACCTATCCCCGCTGCTTCCCCCTAACCCGTGGTTTCCTATGGTCCGGTACCGTATGTGGTCTTTGACCCCCCCTTCCCCCGCCCCTGTCACTCACTGCATGTGAAGTACCCCAGGTACTCGGCGCAGCAGGCGGCCGCCGCGGGGTTGCGCTGCACCTTGGCGCACATGTACGCCTCCACCATGCCGCTCTCCGCGCTGCCCTTGGCCAGCGTGCCCGTCTTCAGGAAGTCGGACCTGGGAGCGGGAGGGAGGGGGGGCGGGCGGGCGGAGAGACGAGGGGGCGGCGGGGGCGGGGGCTCAAGTAAAGCAGGCATAAGCGGTTAGGCATGAAACCGTGCCGGACAGGGCGGGTGATCCACAGCCCCACCACCAACCCACATCCAGACTCGGGCAGCTTCAGGCCTAAAGTGCTCAGTGCAGAGCTCTGGCTTTCCCAGCAAGTCAGGGTGCTAACCGCATGCGGCGCAAGCGACGTGCTTCTCTAGGGAGCCGGGTGCCACTACGCGGTGCGGCGGCGGTGCCTCCGTGTACGAACACATCACCCGCATGCCCACTTGTGGTCCGACTCAGGCAGCAACCCCCTTTTCACCCCATCCGCCGCCACCCCCACCCCTCTCCTCGTCGGCTTGTTGGCCAGCCGCATTCAACACACTGGGTACTTTTCTCTTACCCCACCCCCGAGCACCCCGCTCCGCCCACCTGATGCCCTGGCGGTCCATGTTGACCCGCTTGAGCACCACCCGCCGCTTCTTCTGCTCGGGGCTCAGCTTGCTGCGCTGCGAGACGACCTGGTCATCCGACTGCAGGCGCGGGAGAGGAGGCGGGCAGGGCAGGGCAGGACGGGCGGGAAGGCGGCATAGGCTTCAGTGCTGGCGGCGCGGGTAAGCAGCACAGGGCCGCCAATGCGTGCAGGAGTCCAGCTCATGCAGAGGAGAAGGAGGAGGAGGGACACGTCCCTGGCTGGCCCTCTCCAGCCTGACCAAGGGAGCGTGGCATGGCGTATGAGGTATGCAGGTGCGCGGCTCACCGAGAGGCGCAGTCCCTCGAATGTGATGCCGAAGTTGCCACCACCCAGCTTGTCACGCAGTTGGAAGTCGGCGCTGCTCCAGCGGCTGTTGCGGCGGTCTGACAGCTGCGTGCCCAGGTAGAAATCCCAGATGTTCCAGAAGGGATTGGGGTTGCTGAAGAGCAGGTAGTACAGAGCCTGCGGGCAGAGAGTTGGGTGACAGCAACAGGGTGTTGGTAGAGCTGTGTTGGAAGGGGTTTGTTGCTTGCAGGCTGGCTGGCCAAGCTCTGTGCATGTTGGTTGCCATGATGTAACCCACCGTTAGTCTACCGAGCCCTGGAAGAGTGGGGGACAGGGTCGCCAAGGATGCGATGTCGCCGCCTATTACTGAGACGGCAGGCTGTAAGGGAGCGGGTGCTGCGGCAGTAGCGGCAGCCACTACCCCTTGAAAGGCGTCAGCAATGCTTGCAATTTCTGGTAGGGTCGCCTGCACCACAACTCGTCGGCCATGAACATTTTGCCGCTTCCTCATGTGAAAGCTACATGGTTTAAACTGCTGTGCTTGGTAGGTCCCCGCGTGAGTTCCAGACATTGAAGGCAGGGAGCGCTGCATATTAGCGAAGCTACAATATGGCTCGCCCTGAGTGTCAAATAGTCGCGAATGATTGATCGAGGTTGTCTCTATTGGTCAAGCGACAAGCGACGTGGTAAGGAATGGACAAGGAAAGCAAGTCTGTGGTGAGAATGAACTTCAAGTACAGGCCGATGAACGCAAACGATGATGGCGGCGTCCAGAAAAAGTGTTTAAAATGTACCTTGTAAGGATTAAGCTGGTAACATGTTAACCAAAATCTGGCTATGGCCGAGGCGTACGATAGAAGAGGTTAGGCGCTTAGTCCTGTCAGTACTCAGTAGCCTTCGCTATGGGAAACGTTTCTCTCTCTTCCCTACTTCCTTATATACTTGTTTCATACTTCGATTGTCGTTAAAGGAATGTCAACTGATTCAGGCTAGGTGAAATGACAGGGTAAGAAGACCCTAGCATGCGACTCACCTCTATCACCGAAACGTATTGCAAAATTTAAAGCCTTTTAGTTCTGCATATTGTGTTAGGGCTGGAGGTAGTCCTGCGAAACAAAGCCCTTTTGCAATTGCACCGTGGGACCTTGGGAAAAAAGCTCGCCTTACAGGTTTTTGAACTATATAACGAACGCATGAAAACAGGTCTCACTTGAGACTGACAGCTTAGCCTTCCTGCGGTGATTGCGCCGCTTGTGACGGTTGATGCTGATGTCCACGAAAAAGGCACACGTACGGCAATATCTAGCACCGATTTTGAAATAGGAGCCGTGCCGATAAATCTCGGAACTCTTTCTCGACAAAGTGTAGGCGGCATAACTCTCACTTCGACGCAATCTTAAGCCCCGGCGGCCGCCACAATGTTAACGTCACGCTTACCCACACTTGTGCCGCGCGCCCTGCCTCGGCTTCGGCAGCTGATTGGAGCTATTCCGGCACGCCAGGTTGCTCAGCGGCCTCTGCCGCCTTCAGCCTACAGCAAGCGTGACCAAGTCGCCTCCAATTGGGAAGAGCTTCGCGCTAACCCAAGCGAATGGTGAGTCCATCGGCTCTACCTAGGTTTCGTAAAATTGAAAAGATGCTCACCGCCATCTACGCTAAAAGAGCATGCAGACGTGGTACCGGGAGATGTCTGCTTGAGCATGCCGTTAAAGCAGGCGTTTCCCGGTACCACGACTACTGTTTCCACTCCTACCGTAGCTGGGCCGTAGCTGGGCCGTAAAGTTGTATCGATTTGGCGAAACGCATACCGGTTAAGGGTCTTGGCTCACTTCTACCACATGATATCCGTCCCGCCCTGCCAGGTTCGACAACCGCAACCGCAAGACCAACGATAGGCAGCCTGACTTCGTGAAGAGGGATGACCGCAGCGTCGCCATCTGGGTCAACAGTGAGTAGCACGGCCTCCCCAGGGTTATAGCAGGGAACCCTTTCGCAGTTCGTAACACCTCTTGCTTCCCGTTGTCTTGCGATCACCCTCCACATCCCACAAGAGGCATCTTCCTCACACTCTCGCTCTTGCCCTCCCTCTTCTTTAACAGGCCAAGACACCCCCGAGTGGTTCACGGAGGTATTGGACGAGCTGGACGCCGCACGGCCGGCCAGGCAGTCCCAGCCGACCCGGGGCCCTGATGCGCGTCGCGAAGAGGAGCTAGTCAAGTGGGAGTCGCTGCGCAACGATCCGGACCAGTGGTGAGTGTGCGGGTCGAGGAGGGGAGGGGTGATTTGTATGGGGTTCGTCCCAGTTCTATGGGGATAATCCCGACGTACTGATATAGGAGTGGTGTATTAGCTGCAGGTGGGGTGCGGCGCACATGTATGAGTTGCTCGTGGAGCTGTGGTAGCTGTTGCTCCCACCTGGGCTGGGTGTACCAGGCCTTCTGCCGTCATGCGTCATTCATCAGCTGTTCATGCGTCATGTTGGTTTCGGTGCTGCCGGCCCGCAGGTACGACAACCGCTACAGGAAGACCAACCCCAAGGCGCCCGACTTCAAGCGCAAGGACGACAAGATGGCGGCGCTGTGGGTTGACAGTGAGTAGGGTAGCCGATCCGGGAAGTGTAGTAGCCGATCCGGGAAGTGTTCTGGCCGATCCGGGAAGCATTCAGATTGCTTGCAAGGCGCTGACCGGTTTGGGATGCTAGCCTTGCTGTGGATGCAGCTGTAGCAATCCCGCCTCCTTGACGGACCGTCTTGGTCCCCTCCCTACACGCACAATGTAGCAGTGCACCTAACGCCTCGTACAACCAACCTGCTCCTAACCGCGTCGTCAACAACCCCCCGCCCCCCTCGCCCGCCCCATCTCCCGCCAGGCTACAACGCCCCCGAGTGGGTCCCCGAGCTGCTCGCCGCTCTGGACGCGCGCGGCCCCCGCAGCGCCCCTGCAGGCGACTCGGGAGACATGGACTCCCGGCGTGCCGAGGAGCAGGCCAAGTGGGAGGCGCTGAGGAGCAACCCGAGCGATTGGTGGGGTGGGGCGGGGTGCAGCAGGGTAGGGTTATATCTTAGTTGCACGAGTTGAGGTGTTGCTAGTGGGGTATACAGGGCGGCAACACCAGCACCCCGCATGGCTCCTTCCAAGTTCCTGCCCCGCTCCCTCCCCACCTCCGTGTAACCCCCTCCCGCCCGCCCGCCCGCCCTGCAGGTACGACAACCGCAGCCGCAAGGAGCCCGGCTCGCGACGGCCCGACTTCGTACACAGGGTGGACCGCTCCGCAGTGCTCTGGGTCAACAGTGAGTAGGGGGATGGGGGTGCAGGGGGGGTCGGGAGAGGAGGAAGCATGCGTGCAGGAGTGAGCATGGCGGGCATAAGGGGGGCGTAGGGCTTGCCTTTAACAGGAAAACAGCAGTCTGGGAGGTCAGTCGGGGTTGATGTCCCCTTGACGCCCTTGAATCCTTTTGCTAGGGTAGGGCTCCAGTGCTTCGCTAGGGCAAGGCACTAGGGTTATCGGTTCACGTGCGGCTGATGTGACCCTTCCCTGCTGCTCCTTCAGGCCGCAGTGCGCCCGAGTGGCTGGGTGACCTGCTAGCTGAGCTGGACTCGGGGCGCCCGCAGTATCGCCAGCAGCAGCAGCAGCAGTACGGCGAGGAGTACCAGCCGCGCTACCAGCAGCAGCAGCAGTCGTACCAGCAACAGGAGTACGGCGCTCGCGGTGGCGGCGACCGGCGTGTCGAGGAGCAGACCAAGTGGGAGTCGCTGCGGAGCAACCCGGAAGAATGGTGGGGCGGGGTGGGGTGGCGGGGTGGGGTTGCGGGGCAGGGCTTAGGGAGTGCAGCAGGGCTTAGGCAGGAGGTGCGGTGGCTGGTCCACCACACGTGCATTGGCTGCTTAGGGGCTTGCTCGCATTGGCACTGAAACCTGCTTCCTCCCCTTCCTCGCATGGTGCCTGCTCACCTGTCCTGCCCTCCTGCCGGACCGCAGGTACGACAACCGCAACAGGAAGACCAACCCCAAGGCGCCCGACTTCAGGCGCAAGGACGACAAGATGGTCGCCCTCTGGCTCAACAGTGAGTGCTGCCTGCAGCCGCGTGATAGCACCCCAGCAAGGCTTTTTTGTCGTACATGGACCCCTACAGCCTTGCCCGCCACAGCTCTCCCTGCATTGCCAATGCGTCTGCACCTTGCCTTCCCTCCACTGCAACCGCTGCGCCCACGTGTGTTGCAAGCGCTACCTTGTTCTCCTAATACACATGTAACCTTCTCTCCCGCCCCCGTCCCCGCATCGCAGGCCATAACCGCCCCTCCTGGGTGGATGACCTGTGCGCTACCCTGGACGAGCGGCAGGCGCAGCGGGGCATGGCCACCAGCTACGGTAACGCGTACTGAGGGCAGGACGTGAGGAGGGGCGCGTGGCAGCCGGTTTTTGGTGCAGCGTCCTAATGATCTGGCGGCCTGATGGCGGACGTGGCGCCTGCTGACATGCAACTGTGTGAATGGTCGTGGTGATGCTGTGGTGAACAGGCAACAGGTGCTGAGGACCGGTTAGGACCGCCTCTTGTCTTTGGTGTGGAGATGTGTGTATTTGCTGTTTGTTTTTGATGTGAGCCATGTAGGAGGTGAGGAGGGCAGCTGAAAGGACGTGATGTAGGAAGGAGGCCAGTATTAGTTTATTGTTTCACCAAGATGTCTAGACGAACGGGCCGGTCATGTTTGAAATGTTGCATTAAGGTCTCACGCATCCTGACATGTGACGATGTACCGGTACAAGGGGTTGCGTTGCGTGTCCTGATGAAGGATAGGCCGCTCACCCGCTCCCATCTCGCTTTGTCCGCAATTGGGGACAAGGTCAGGTGTGTAGGACACGTTCGGCTCCTCTGCGCAAAGATGTTTAGAAGCGTCCTATATTTGAACGGACTACATATCTTGCATTGGTGTTGCTGCTTGTACGGTACTTCCTTGTTTGCTAGAGCTGTTGCACATGCAGGTGTGTAGCTCCTTGTACAAATGAGTTTGCTCGGGGACATACATTGTTTCCTCTTGTATGTGCTGTACGGCGCTTTAACTGGCCGCCATGAGGCCTCAAACGCCGCTTATTACCCGCATGCAAGCGGCCCCATGTCTGCAGGGCATGTGCCGAAGTGCAGTCGATGGCTTGCTTGACAGTGTTTCTTTCTTCATGCCACATTCGTCTTGTTTGACAGGCAGACACCCAGACTGCGCACCAAACGGGAATACGCAGTCCGCAGGTGGTTGAACCCAAGTGACCAATAAGTACATGTAATGGCTATGTATGGCTGAAGTGTCGTCCTCTCATGTCGCTACAGGTCGCTACCGCAAGGCACATGGCACAGAGTCTCAGTCGGTTGCACAACGGAGAATCCAGCGTTTTTGGGTGGAGCCCCCGCCGTGAAGCGGCTTCAGGGGGGCTTCGGGGGAGGAAGCGACCCACGGGACTGCTGCTCCTGCTGGTGCTGCGGGAAGGGGGTTGTTTACGTTTGGGTTTAGCGTTGGGGCGGGTGTGAGTGGTGATGGGGGCACGGCAGCACCGGCAGCGGATGTGGAGGGGTTCAAGTTTGGTTTTGGTTTCTGAGCGGTTCTAGCTCCTTCAGCTCACCAGCCAGGCACCCAATCCGCAATCAGTGCGTGCTACTTGACTACTTAGCCAGGCATTCGTTCTGTTACTGTGGAGGCTAATGAGTGGTTGTTATGTGGCTGCTTTAATAGCTTGCGAACAGCCCTTGCATGAGCTGGTATTGTTGTGCTATCTGCTGGCAAGAAGATGTGGTGAAGATAGCTGTAAGATTTTGAAGATGACGTTGTTTACAGGCAACACGGAAGTGTACGGGAATGCACCACAGTACAGGGTACACACCACAGCGTTACATGTGCCTGTTTATAAAAATATATATGCACAAACATAACTCAGCACACCATGCACACCATATAGTACACATCTGCTTTGTCCACTTTGTCGGGCGCGACACAACCGCCAAACCGCAGAGCATGTTACTCGACCAACGAGTCCCATTAATTACTCAGCTAGGCACCAGTAGTCATTTGCATGCCGACAGCCAACTCCTGGCAATGACCCACGGGTCACCTAACCACACTCAAAATGACACAGACTTCACACAGACAACTGTTGCCGACATGGGTGTACGAACAAGTCTTAACATGACTCAAGACACCACCGGGTAATGCACAGACAGCTGCAGGTGGCCAAGAGCGCACTTTTGCATACATTTGCCAGCATGGTGCATAATGGTGCTTGAAGCCTTCAAAACAACCGCATGGAGGCGGTTGACCGTGGCCATCTGCACCATCTGCAATGAAGCCGTCCCAATCTTCACTGCAGGCCTTGACCCTGGCGCTGAGAGTGATGTTGGCGGTGCTTTCAATGTTCGTCCTGCTGGTGCTGCCACCGGCAGACATCCTCTTCTGGGTTCCAGAAGACAATGTCTGCCGGTGGCAGCACCAGCAGGGCGAACATTGGAAGCACCGCCAACATCACTCTCAGCGACAGGGTCAAGGCCTGCAGTGAAGATTGGGACGGGGGAAGGGAGGGAGGGAGAGGGGCAGGGAGGGGGGTTGGAGGGGAAGGCCTTGGTGGCGGAGGCTGCACCCCCGCAGGTTGGCCAGGTAGAAGCCATTGCAGCTCTTGGAACCCATGTGTAGGAGTAGTCGGGAGATACTAACTGAACTCCTAGGGCTGTCATCCTAACCGCCTTACCGCCTAAGATCATAGTGCCATAAGACAATGCACCTCGTGTGGCATCCTCAGGCGGATACGGCGGCAGTGCCGGCTGCAGCTGTTGGGGGAGTCGAACCGCTGGGGACCGGAGACAACACGGTGCGGTTTCTAGATTGTCATAAGCTCTAAATTAGTACCTGTGGGTTGTATAGCGTCCTGTAGCATTTTCATGCTTTAGTTGCTCTATTTTCCACGCAAGCAATTGATAGTCTGTTCCCGTCATCCCCTTCCATCCCCAGACACAAGCTGCTGCGCTACGGGCGGCGACATTGCAGCGCAGGGCTGGCACCGCCACAGTGACCGGTGTGGATGCCCCAGCTGGAGCGCCTCCCACACAAGAGCAAGCGCAGGGCTTCTCTTCGCAGCGCAAGATGCCAAACAGCTACCTGGTTGCGCACCTGCAGTGTGTCCTCTACACTCGGCAGGCAACATCACAGGTATTCCTCGCCGACATAATAGAGACAGCGGGGAAGGAGAATCCGCAGGAGCTGCCGAGACTCTTTAGGCGGCTGAGGCGTACCCTGGACGCCAAGATGAAGCAGCCTCTGAGCCTTTTCTGTGCATTGGGGTATGTTAGCTCCTACAAGGAAGCCGGGCAGCTGATCATGCAGTACGCCCGCGAGGATGGCGGTAAGCCTGGTTGCGTGAAGTTGTGTTGTTCTGCATATGCCGTTCTTCCTAGGGGCTATACCTATCCACCTTGCCTTGCCTTGGCCAGCCCCTCGACTGTCCTCCCAGCGCTTATCGTAGTGCCCCTCACCTCGTTTTTCCTTTATTTTTTACCTCCCAACGCTCGGCAACACCGGTCATTAGCCCTCCTCTCACCGTTGCCGTACACCTCTGCCTTCAGGCCAGGATATGCCAGTGGTACGGCCTGTCACCCAGGAGGCTTCAGGGTTTTTCGGCATCCAGGCCCCCACCAACGGTGCGCCAGTCCAGGTGGCCGCTGGGCCCCAGGCAGGAGACCGGGGAGCGGAGCAGGTGCAGCAGCCGGAGGAGCAGCTTGAGCTGCACCAGCCGCAGGTGCCGGCGCAGCCACAGGCGCAGGTGCAGCCGCAGGCGCAGCCTCAGCCGCAGGCGCAGCCTCAGGCGCAGCCGCAGGCGCAGCCGCATGAGGATGGCGAGGTCGCGGGTGTTGCTGCTGGGGCTGACTCGGATGAGGAGGATGCGCTACAGGGCTTAGATGCTCTGGTGGACGAAATCACGCGTCCGCGCGCAGCGACCCGTACTGCTGTCGTCAAAAGGCCGAGGCAGGAGGCCAAGGGGGTCAAGGGGGCTAGGGCAGCTAAGAAACCCCGCACGGTGAAGGCCGATAAGGCGGCACCGGGCAAGGGGCTAGCGAAGGGCAAGGGGAAGGTGGCGGAGGAGGATGAGGAGGAGGAGGAGGAGGCACTTCACAACTTCTCTGATCCGGATACGGAGGAGGATGACGACAGCGAAGCCGAGTGATGCAGCTGGATGGGGGGGAGCACTTATGTTCCATCAGTGTGCCATTTTAGGTTAGGGGAAGGAGTAAAATAGATTTACGTTGCATGTTGCTTGTCCTACAATCCTGATGAAGTTGCGTTGGACACGTGGAGTGCCATTTAAGGTTACGGGAAGGAGTCAAATAGATTTACGCTGCATGTTGCTTGTCCTACAATCCTGATTAAGTTGCGTTGGACACGTGGAGTGCCATTTTAGGTTACGGGAAGGAGTCAAATAGATTTACGCTGCATGTTGCTTGTCCTACAATCCTGATGAAGTTGCGTTGGACACGTCCTTAGGATTAGGAGTTGTGGATATACATCCTTCTTACTGCGGCCAGCATCCCTTTTGTTGGTTGTGAACAGTGAGCCCGGTTTTAGACATCTAGGTGACTTGATGCTGTCCCTTATTGGATATTCGTTGCTTGTTGGTATGGTTAGCTTGCACCTTTCTACAACACTTATGAATGCATAGGAAAACACCTATATTGCTGGAGGCCAACATGGGACAGCAAGTGTTCCAACAAACCAGGTTTCGTGGTCTGGGGTTATGAAGTTCGTTCTTTAAGCAATGCTAACCTAGTTTTACCTGCCTTCTGATACCATACGAATGTTGTATTTGTAAGGTGAATGGGTACGAAGCTCCTGCGGTTGACATAATACGACGTTCATATCAAGCGAACGGTCTCCTTCCAGAGATATACGCACTCCATAAACGGCATACAATACGAAGCTCGTATGTAGTGGACGGAGCTCTTCCATGTCAGTACGAAGTTCTTCCTGTGCATGCAATACGAAGCTCGTATGTAGTGGACGGAGCTCTTCCACATCGGTACGAAGTTCTTCCTGTGCATGCAATACGAAGCTCGTATGTAGTGGACGGAGCTCTTCCATGTCAGTACGAAGTTCTTCCTGTGCATGCAATACGAAGCTCGTATGTAGTGGACGGAGCTCTTCCACATCGGTACGAAGTTCTTCCTGTGCATGCAATACGAAGCTCGTATGTAGTGGACGGAGCTCTTCCACGTAGGTACGAATTGCGTATAATGTGCCTTCAACACTTGCCACTGCGGCATTCTGTCATTCATACTATGTTGCCCATCCTTAGGACTGCCATTTTGTGTAGCTAGCCTGTGAACCATAAAGTAAACGAAGCTCGTCTTCTGCAATATCTGTTCGTAAATGACCCTTCGTATGCAGTTTTCTCATCCTTCGTTCGCACTTAACGAATGGTAACTAGAGCAAACGAACTTCATTTTACGACCCAATTACGAACTTCGTATTGGGGCCTTCGTAAAAATGGGCAAAAAAAACGTATACGTAAACGAATGTTTCCATAACCCCAAAATACGAATACGCATACGAAGATTTAGGGGGGGGTATTCCCCAGAGTGAGGAGGGATGCCATAAGAGTCGATGTTGCAAGGATAGGACCCATGCAAGTTAAGAAGCACACCTGCGCTGCTGGCTTGTCTGGCAGCAACAAGAAGTAAAGCTGCCCGCTCAACGTTTCCACATAACCAAACCCTGTGCACATTAGCTAGAGGACGCAGCATCGGTGCATCTATCCTGACCCCCGCCTGGAAGCCGCCTGGGGTCAGGTAGCGCAGAGCAGCTCGCCTTTGCTCATCGCACAAACGAACTGTGGCGGCAAGCCGCTGCGCCTCTGCAACGAGGAGCAGAACTTTGTTTCAGGGAACCAGTTCAAGCTTGCCCGAAAGGTTCCTCCTGCTAGGTGCTTGCCGGCTTTGTTGTCCATTCGCACCTAGCACCTAGTCCTAGCACCTAGCACCTAGCACCTAGCACCTAGTCCCCGTAGCTTGTTTCCCGAATCGTAGCTCGATCGTAGAAAACTTATACTTAGTGTACCGTTTTGGAGGAGCGAAGCGGACTGTAGGCAATTGTGCAGTAATGTACTTTACCTGGGCTAACTGGCTTGCTCTTCTGTTCTGTAAAGAAACCTCATAGCTACGCTGTCCCAGTGCTCGCCCGACGTACAGCCGAAAATGGAGTCACAGTGCGAAAGGAGTCTGTGCCCGCGCCTGCACCTCTGCTTTATAGCCTTCTGCCTTGTACGTCAGCGTCGCGATGCACTAGAGGTCCAAGGCACAAACCTTAACTATTTTCCTACTACAGGTGCAAGTCTGGGTGATTTGTAAGGCATACGCCCTGTTTACGGGGCGAGCCAATAACAACACCCTACCTTACACTCGTTGCCGGTGCTGTACGGGTGATGCCGTAAACTAAAAGTCGCCTGACGCAGACCACCTTGGAGCTCGTCCCACCCATTGTCCCATGGGTCGGTCCAGGCTCCAGAGCGGTGTTGCGCACCGCGCCTAACGCCTACTACTAAATCATCGCATGCATATGTTTAGAGTCGCTACTAGGAAAAACAGGTTGCCGTATATGAAAAACATCTTCGACATTAAAGACTCTTGGGCATTTTTGGGGCGGAGCCCCCGCCTTCCCACATTACTTGCCGCCTCACAACATGCAACCCACGCACGCACGCATGCAACCACTCCCACATTACTCGCCCCCTTGCACACTACTCGTCCCCTCGCCCCGTGTAGCCCACACGCACATGCATGCATCCCCACTTTGCTCGCCCCCATGCCGCACGCAGCCAACACACGCATGCACACACTCCCGCGGCCAGTTATTTTAATACACTCCCACTTCACGCGCCCCCTCGCTCCATACAAACCATGCTCGCACACATACAAGCACCCAAACTTTACACGCCGCCTCACCCCATGCAACCCACGCACGTGCGCAATCACTCCCACTTTACTCGCCTCCTCGCCTGATGCCACCCACGCACACACGCACGCACAACACACCGCTTTAGTCACCCGCCCGCCACAAGCAACCCACGCACGCATGCAAAGAACCCCGCTTTACATGCCCCCTCACCCCATGCAACCCACACACGCATGCAAGCAGCCCCGCTTTATTCGCCCCCTCGCCCCATGCAACCCACGCAGGCACGCATGCTAGCGCCCCCGCATGACTCGCCCCCTCACCCCATGCAACTCACACACGCATGCACGCACTCCCGCATTACTCGTCCCAACGCCCCATGCAATGCATGCACGCATTCACGCACCCCATGCATTCCACACTCGCATGCATGCATCCCCGCTATACTCGCCCCCTCACCCCATGCAACCAACATACGCACACATGCAAGCACTTCCACATGCCTCATCCCCTTGCCACGTGCAACCCCCACACGCATTCAGGCAACCCCACTCAACAAGCCCCGTCACCCCCCCCCACACACACACACACACCGGCGCACACACCACGCCGGCCACAAGCAACCCAAACACACACTAAAGCAAGCTACACAACCCCCACCCAGACCGCACCCCAAACCACACACAAGTTGCGACAGCCCCCCCAGGCGACCATGTAAGCAATGCCATTTTTGGGCGGAGGCCCCGCCGCGGCTTCTTACGTCCTACTTACTCTCAGCACCAGTACTGGAATTACACATCTACATACGCAACCATATTCATCGGTTTCTGCGGCGGTCTGTGGGGACTTCATCTTCCGACAATCACAGTACGTTGCTACTCGCGGCCAGTATTCTTAACACACCTTGCTTGCAGTTACTCTGCTACCCAGAGCCCACACAATCCTATGTGACGATGTTGCCAGCCTTTGCTATTGGTTCGCGCGCCATAATGCCTCTGAAGTGTACCGGTAACGCAAACGGGTACCTCGCCTATAAGCTAACATGCGATGCTACGGTGCAATGACTGAAGTCCTTCTGAGCACGATGCTGAGATTGCCGAACCTGACCCCCTCATCATGTGAGTAATGTAGGTGACACCTGAACGACCTGCGGGACCCTGAAAGCACTCCCCCTTTGTCAGATGTTGTCCGCAGTGCCCTCTACCGATCTACGCACAGACCCCGGCCAAGCAGATGGCACCAAGTCATGCAGTGCAGAAGAACCCCAGAGGTAATCGAGGGGGCAAGTCTCCAGCCTCCAAAAAAGGCTGACAGTGCACTGCGGAACCAAGGGTCGCTCGCAATGCTGCTGCAGGGGCTGGAAGATTCTGTAAGCGCTGTAATCGCATTTTAGCAAACGACTCCGAGCCTATTTTACTTTCAACTCCTATGGATGTTTTTTGTTTGTATGCCTCGTTGCTGTGAAGCGACCGTTGATGGTGGGACCCTAAGGCTAGACGTTGCTCTGGGAAAATACCCGCAGCTATCTTCAGTATAAGAGATTTCTCCATGTGGATTAGCAGTCGTTAAGGTGCAGTTGTTAAGGGCACGTCGCGTCAAGGCTCAGATACGACCCGATACGACGCGCTCTTCCGGCTTCCCTCGTCGATCTACAACTTGCATTTCATTCTAACAAATACACCCACACATGCTAGATTATAAATCATTATAAATACTTCAAACCTGTATCTTCTCGTGCTCTGCACCGAGGCTATCCACCTCGTCCTTTGACCCCAACGCCATTGCAACGCAAGTTTACAACAATGTTATCCTTGCAACGCCCCAACCACATAATACGCTCGAATTCTTCTAATCATTCCTTACAACAACTCTTAAGGCTCTCGAGGCAAGGTCACGCCCTCGCGACGCTTCCCTCGAGCTCCTCGAGGACCGCGTCCATAAACCGCCCCGGCGCACTCAGCGGCGGGGCCGGCCCCCGCTCCCAGCAACCGCAGCAGCTGCCGCTAAACCGCGTGGAGTTGGAGTGCGTCGTGAACTCTGTTCGCTGGCTTCCCGCCACCTCGCCGCAGCAGCAGGTGGTGGTAGCCTCCGTGGGTGGCTTCGGAGACCAGGCGGACGTGATAGAGGTGGGCGGCTGGGTTGGGAGGGGGATTAGGAAGGGGCGGCTGGTTGTTGTTGTTGGTGATGGGGGCGCTGTGAGACTAAACAAGGCTGCTAACGCGACAAGATGGTTCGTCCATGGTGAGGGTGTTTCCCCTGAAGCTGCCATTTAAGCCTTTTGTGGCTTGGTGGCTGCATGTCATGTTGGCGGACTCACCCAGCAGTGCCAACGCCGCTCAGGTCGCTTCTTCCTGCACCCTATTCGCTCGATCCGCCTATCGACCGCCTGACCCACCTGACGATCTCAACCAACTAAGCAGCCCGTTGGGTATTCCCCCGCCTGCAACCCCGCAGGTTCACCTATCCTGCATCAACCCCGGCGTGAGATGCCTGCAGGAGGGCACTCGCATCCGAGTAGTTGGGCGGCTGGCGGTTCCGTCATCACCCGCCTCGCCGGCTAGCTCCTGCGCACCGCCGCACATCTGGGGCCTGCAAGTGCAGCCCGCGGCTGCACCCGCAACTGCAAGAACACCCCAGCCACAACCGCAACCGCCTGCACCGGTACCCGTACCTGCTCCTGTACCCGCACCCGCACCTGCTCCTGTACCCGTATCTGCACCCGCACCTCCTCCTGTACCCGCACCCGTATCCACACCCGCACCTGCACAGCCGCCCCAGCCGCTGCTCGCCTCTACACAGCAGCCGCAGCCCCGGCAACCGCCGTCGCCGCAGCCGCTGCCTGCACCCACACTGCCATTGCCGCAGCAGCAGCCCCCGCTGCCGCTTCCGAGTCATCAGGCTGTGCAGGTGCCGTACATGCGGGGTCCGGGCACCGCCGCCCCAACCACCTCCATGAGCCCTACTCCGCTGCAACCGCCGCCGGCAATCAGGGCCCCGCAGCAGCCTTGGATGGGAGGCGGCGGCAACGGCGATCGGCGGGATTCTGACGTGGCGCTCTGGGAGTCGGTGCGGAGCAACCCGGAGCTTTGGTGGGTGTGCGGGGATGGGGGGGAGGGAGATATTCAGAATCTGAAATTCAGATATATGAAGCAGCAGCAAGGATTCGGTATGAAGGTTGCGAACGGAAGACTCCCTGACATCACGAGATGCCTTGGGGGGCACGGCCGCTTTCGCCGCGGCAGGCAGGCAGACATGCATGCGGGATGCTGATGTACCCCCCCATTCCCTCCATCCCTGTACGGCCCCCATTCCCTCCATCCCCTTTGGGACAACAGGTACGATAACCGTCCCCGCAAGCAGCATTCAAGGCAGCCTGACTTCAAGAAACTGGACAACTCTGCCGCTTTGTGGATTGACGGTACGTTCACGTAAGCGCGTAGCGTGCACTGACGTCAGCGTGTAGCCTGCACTGGCCGTTTGGACTTGTTACTGGAATCCCTGCAGAGCCGTACATGTGTGTGCATCTGCACAGGCGATGCGCAGCTCTAACCACCCATACCGCTTGCTTAACGATCCTCATAGTCAGTTCTCTCCTTCGGCACCCGCTTCATCTGCTGTCGTGCTCACGCTGTGCTTGTACTTATCAGTGCATGCGGCGAAGGGTAGCACCACATGGGGTACGCATGCAGTCGGGGCACGTGAACTGCTGTACCTACCGCCATGCATGGGAAATGCCCACCCATCTCCACCGGTACCCCCAACCCGGCTCATCGACCGCTCCGCCCCAGGCCGCAACACGCCCGTCTGGGTTTGGGGGTGGCTGGCGGCACTGGGCACCCAGCTGCCGGCGCCCGTGCAGCAGCAGGCGCCGCAGCAGGCGGCGGACAGGGCAGCGGCACGGGAGGCCAAGCGCGCAGCGGAGGTGGCACTCTGGGAGGAGCTGCGGAGGAGCCCAGATGATTGGTGGGACGGGGCTGGGATGTGGAGTTGCGAGATACACACAAGCAGGGGCCAGTTTGGGTCGTTGAAACAGATGCCGCGGGTGTTGCCTTCTTATGAATGTCTGTCTGATGAGCTGTGAGGATGGGGGTTCAGGGCGGCGGAGCGTGTGTACGGCACTCATCCACGCCGATGGCGGGCTGCTGTACAACCTTTGTTGCTTGTTGACGGACTATGCATTCACGTGTCGCGCTGTGCACGCATGCAGGTTTGATAACCGCTACAACAAGAAGAACCTCAGGGCTCCGGACTTCAAGAAGAAGGACGACCCGGAGGCGGCTCTCTGGGTCAACGGTGAGCGCCCCCACGCCGTTACCGTGATGTGGCCTGATGCCCCTGTACGTTACCGTGATGTGGCCTGATGCTGCCCCTGTACGTTACCGTGACGTGGCCTGATGCTGCCCCTGTATTTATGTGCCCGTGTGGCTTACGGTAGCTCCGTCCTGGGTAGCATGCATGCCGGTCCGGGGCTGCTTTCCGCTAGGGGACCAACCAGTGTGAGTGTGGAGTTCGGCTTCTGCCATTCCACCAATCAGTTAGTCCCACCTGTCGCTTGCTTTCCTACACCAGCGCCAACACGGCTTACCGGCACCTCGCCTGCTGAGTAGGTTAATGAACCCACCCTAAGGGTCCTTCCAGTTTCCAATCACCTCTCGGTAGTAAGACCCTTTCTTTGAGCCTCCTCCGACGCCCTCCTCCCTCCCCTCCCGTCCCCACCGCTCCACCTCCACCCCAAAGGCTACAACAGGCCCAGCTGGGTCCCCGAGTTCCTGTCCCAGCTGGACGCCAGCCGCCAGCAGCTGCAGCCCCAGACGCAGCTACAGCAGCAGCAGCAGTACGGAACCCAGCCGCAGTACCAGGCACAGTACGGAACCCAGCTGCAGTACCAGGCGCAGTACGATACCCAGCCGCAGTACCAGGCGCAGTACGACACCCAGCCGCAATACCAGTACCAAACCCAGCCGCAGTACCAACCGCAGTACCAGCCGCAGTATCAGCCCCAGTACCAGTACGAAACCCAGCCCCAATACCAGTCCCAGACCCTGCCGCAATACCCGCCACAAAACTGGCAGCAGTACCAAGCCCCACCCCAGCCGCTGGCGCTGGCGCAGCCTGAGTCCGGGTCTGACTCTGAGCCAGAGTCCCAGGCGGTGCCGGAGCCCCAGTCGCACGCCCAGTTCGAGACCGAGACCGAGCTGCAGCCGCAGCAGAGCCTTCCATGGTGAGGCGAACCACGGGCCACCCCAGCCTTGTTCTAGGCTGGCTGAACGTCTAGGCTAGCGGGAGGGGCAGGGTTGTGGAGCGCTCCGACTGACACGGTTTACATAGGTTGCATCTGCATCTTGCATGGTATAATATATTCGTTGTTGTTGCCGTTCATGGAGGAGTTGGAGCAGCACCGGAGGTGGACGGTTGACGTAATAGAACGGCATGGCGTGGCATGAGCGCATGTGCGAAAGGAGCAGAGCGGGTATCATGGGGGCACAGGGGTCGCCAGCGTCGCTGTGTCGGTACGGTCTTCTGTTGTGATGGCGGTCTCTACTTATGTGTGGGGCAAAGTATGGTAACCCTGGTAGTCAGCGGCTTCCATGCAAAGGCAACACAACGCTGTAGGCCTTGCATTAAGTGATTTTATTATGTATGTCGGAATGGCTGACCGTTCCACGCCTTTTGTCATCCCCTTAAGAGGGGCCAAATAGCTGTTCATCACGGGGGATGTGCCCGTGATGTGGGAGGTGGTGAAGCGTGTGAACACGCATTCTCACCAATGCTTGAATAAACACGGTGTATGTGCCTTATGCTGCTCGCCCCGGACCCCAAAGCTCTCGGCCTCCAATACTACGGCCCCCGCTAGGAGGACATCCGCCCAGCATGCTTCTCCCCCCGCCACACACTGCCACGCGCCGCCTAACACAGCGTCACGCATTGGGATCACGCCCCCAGATTCATGGCACGTAACCAAGAGATGTGACCAACAGCACACCTCCCGGTGTTGCATGCTGTAAATCATCACCAGTGAAGCCATACCACCACACGCGCGCGAACACAGCTTGCAACCGATCCTCCAACCCATTTTACAGCCCCGGAGCTACCGGTACCCGTGCCATCGCACACCTCATCCATGAAGCCTCCTCGCCTCCTAGTCATCCCTATGCTAGCTGCCGCGCCGCGCCGGCCCCATCACGACGCAGGCGAGGGCTGCAGCTCCCGGCGGCTGCTGTTCAGGTGCGCCAGCTGACCTTGGTCTTGCTGCGCCAGTCCGAGTCGGCGTGTGAATATTGGCCGTACTTGGCCGTCATCTTGTTGCGAACCTTGTCGTACGCGCGCTCGCCCATGCTCTGGCGGCGGACAGGAGGATGGGCAAGCAAACACGGTAGTACCGGGGTTTAGGCAGCAGGAAGTGGCAAAGAGGTGACGAGTGCAGCACGTGATGAAGCACAGGAGGCGGACAACAAGCGACCCAGATGCCATGCCGCAACTGCCGGCTACGGAACCAGGTTCTGTGTACACCTTGGATGCCGGCTAAACGCGGGGATCGCACAGGCCTGTCTTCTTTCCACACACGCACTATTGCGTATCGTATGGCTAGTTCCGACCCAGTTCGCGGTCCCACGCATTGCTAAGGTATGGACCTAAGACAGCGAAGAACACACCACCACGTCATCAGAATGCCTCCAGACCCCACCCGCCACCCCCAACGCGCCCCTCTGCCGCCCCAAGCCACCCTTGTTACCTTGGACTTGCTGGCCAGCCGCTCAATGTCCTTGGCCAGCGAGGACAGCGTGTTGGTCCGCTGCTGCGCGCTCTCCGGGTCGAAGCTGTTGTACGGCTGCTCCTCCTGGATCACGAAGCGCAGCAGCAGCGCCATGGTGAGCGTGAAGAGCTCCACTGCCAGGAAGCCCAGGGCCACCCAGCGGGACACGCTCAGCTGGTGGGCAACTGGGGGCAGGGGGAGGGGGCGGACGGGGGGTGATGTGCAGTTGGGGTTATAAAGAAGGATGTGCATTAGTTGGGTTACTCGCAGCGGGCTGGACAAGGGGGCGGGGGGGGATGAACACGAATGGGCCAAGAGCGGAGCAGCGCCACGGAAGGCATGGAAGGCAAAGGGAGCGATGCATGCAGCGGATGCGGATGGGGTGCGTACGGGAAGCATGCCGTTGGGGCTGGGGCGCTAAGCAATGTGGGTCAGCGTCAACTGTTGCGTGCTGATGTGGGTCAGTGCCGTGAACCCTGTACCGGTATCCCCCGAGTGGCTTCAGCGACTGCATGGTGTTGGACCCAACCGCTAAGTCGGCAGCTGTGTCCATCTGCCCTACACCGCATCCGCATCCCGCACAGCCGCCGTACAGCGCCCCACCTACCCTTGTCGTACTTGGCCTTGTCCTCCGAGGGCGATGCGATCCTGCCCACCACCGACTCGAACGCGAACAGCAGCGCCGTGATGAGGGCAATCTGCAGGATGATGGAGAAGCCGCCGCACGCCAGGAACCCCACCAGCACGCGCTTCTGCAAGAGGAGGGAGGCAGCAGGAGGGAGAGGACGAGGAGGGAAACATGTTAAGTGAATGCAAAATGTACGCGGCAGTTACATGGCGCTCGTGCCCTCTGGGTACAGTTTGAGCCACGTTTCCCGCAGAACCCATCGCCCGTCCTGGTTTGCCTTCGCAGGCCGCTTTGCCTAGGATATCTCCCAGGGTCATCCGAGGCAGGCTCCAAGTTAACAACATGGCACCTCCTCCTTCCTCTTCCTCTCCGTGGTCACTGCTCCAATCCCCCCCTGCCCAAGCAACTTGGTCAGCCCTGACAACTCCTTATCCTGCTGACCTTGTGATAACTACCCCAGAAGCCAAGCAGCGAGGCGAACATGTTGAGTGTCCCCATAATAACGAACTGCGTGAGCAAGGGGTGCGTGCAGAGGGGTTAGGGTTGGGCGACTAAGGTGTAACGGTTGGAACGGCAGGAATGAGGGTAAGGCAGCCAAGCACCGCGGCGCTAACAAGGACATTCGTGCTAGCCCCGCGTGTATGCACATGGACATACCATTACAGGAGCAAAATCTTTGGGCGGATTCTGCACTTTACAACCGAAGACAATGAAGGCTATGCCAAAGACGAAGTTGAAGAAAATCGCGATGCGCATGGCAATGCCAGACGCTCGCGCACAAGAACATGAGCACTCCATGGCTGCTGCTGCTTGCTAGCGCTTGCCGGCAGCCAACTACGCGTAGGTGCTCGGTTCTGCAGTGTCGTCTACCGGGCTCCGCTTGTACTAATAAGAAAGGTATTATCTTCAATATCCTAGCCCGTGTGCCTTCTCCTTTTTATATATTCACTGTTCCGAGGGCCGATGCTGGTATTGTTGACGTTTTGACTTCCTCTAACGACGTCCTTTACAAGTCTCTATAGCAATAGAGGTTAATTTAAGGACGACTACACAAGCTGCTGGCAGGTTGTCGCCGGGTTGTCTGCGAGCAAAAAAGAGTACAGGTATCCCCTATCACAGAAGACAAAGGTAATTGGAATGATTGTATATCCTAATTAACTGGAATCATTTTACTCATCAAAGCATGGAGGTAAAGGGCTAAGGGCTGACTAGAAACCACGTGTACGGCGCGATCAGGCAAGAGCCGACAGCAGGGCCACAGCAAGAGCGTAACAAAGCCAATTATGAAGCGCAACAAGGCTTTGCGTAGTGCGCCTGGTTGGTATCTAGCTGTTTGTCTTCCTTCCGCGGGAAGTGCTCAACTGCTCATGCAGAGGGCAACTCGAGAGCGGCCCTATTCAGACCAATGCAGATCTACCACAAGCGCCCTTCTTACTGGTTTGGCAAGGAAGAAAAGCTGTGTTGACAGGGACCCAGAGTCGGCAGACAAGTGGTAAGGAATTGCGACCCATTGGCCATTGCATGTTCGTATGTAACCGTGCAACCCTGCCAGTGTAAAGCTATGGCTCCCGCACGTTTACAGGGAGCTCAAGTATGACGTTGATCTCGGCTCTTACCCAGGTCATCAGCACGGGGGCCCACGTCCGCCGCGGTTCTGCCGTAACATCGGCCCTGTGCATACCCACGTATGTGGATGCGCTTCATGCGCTTTAGGAGCATTATACTAAGCGGCGCGCGCGCGCGCCGACACTGCGAGGCGTGGGGGGCTGGATGGCGGGGCGGGGGTGGTGTGTGGGGGAGGCGGGGGGAAGTGGGGTGTGTGTGGGGGGGGGGGGGGTTAGGGGCAAGGGGGAGCATGTCGGAGAGGGCAGGTGATCATTATCAATAAAAGTAATGCATCGGGCGTGAAAGGACGGGCGACATGGGTAGGGTCAGGTGAGGAGGTGGAGTGGCACATCTGGTGTTGTATGTGGGGTGGAATGAGGGCATGGGCGGTGGAGAGGTTGATTGGTCATGTGAAGACGTCTGCCAGCTCGCTGCAGAAGGAACGTGTTTCTGGAGAGGTGGGAGGGGTGCTTTAGGGAGGAAGTGCTCTATCGGGGCGGTTAGAAATGCAGTGAGGGACACAGAGGGAGGCGCGGTGGGAGGTAGACGGAAATTGAAGAAGGTTTGCAGGCGTGCTGGTTGCGTGCGAGCATCGGGATGTGGAGCAGCGCAATGAACAAAAAGGGTGGCCATGTGGTTAGGGTCAGGGGAGCAAGCAGTGGCGCAGCGGTGGTGGGCGGCGGAGGGGTTGATTGGCGATGTAAAGACGTCCGGGAGTCCGCAGCGGGAGGAAAGGGCTCTTGAAGAGGTAGAAAAGGGTGTTTTGGGGGGGACGTCCGCTAAATTGAGGAGGGAAGTGTTCGGGAAAAGGGGAGGTGCTGAGGGGAAGGAACGGAGAGGCAGGTGGCAGGTGGATGGTAAGGGGGGCGCCAATTAAAAGAGGTTTGCAGCCGGGTTGGTTGGGTGTGCGAGAGCGGAAAGGGAACAACTGAGACGGCGCCGATTTACAGGAACCATACTAGAGAGTGCCGTGGTAGTTTCGCTTGAACCGGCCAGATTTCGATGCTTTCTGTACCGCTGTTATGTCAGGAATAACATGGCAATCTCGGTCGCGGCACTCTCGGCGAGCAGTCGGAGTGAGCATCGCGAGCGCCGCAGTTAAGGTCTCGCCGGCTATGCGGATTTGTTTTGCTACAATTGAAGATAGTGCTGCGAGGCGTTAGACGCCGAGCGCAGCGAGGCTCTAGCCTCGTAGATAGCACGTCACACCACTGTACGGCAAAAAATTCCCGACAGGTCCCGGGCCCTGGGGCTACGCGCGACCCCCCATGCAGCATCAAAGGACACCATAAGAGTCGACTAGAAGGATTTAACTTCATATACACTATTCGGGAAGGCCGGGAACTTGAGCTCGTTTCACTTTGATGAGCTCCCACCGACGCAAAAGTCATGCCCGCTGAAAATGAGAGTGCGCATAATTTAAAGCATGGAGTGAAGAAGCGATTGCAAGTGAAAGATGCATGGGGTTGTATCGAGAATTCGTGAGGAAACTAACCGCGAGCGAGTACCGTTCATAAGTCGTTGCGCTGAAAATAGGTACCCCCGAAATACCATGCCGGACCGTTTTTACTTTATAAAGTTAAAGAGCACTATGTCTACAATAAAGCTACCTTGCCAATAACGTCTGGAACGCTTTGTAGGGGCGGAGCGCTAATTGGCTCCCGACCCGTGCGACGTCTCGGAGCTTAAAGGAAAACGCCAATCTATTCTGTTAATATATATCTTGACTTGTAGCAAAACAAATCCGCATAGGCAGCGAGACCTTAACTGCGGCGTTGGCGATGCTCACTCTGACTGGTCGCCAAGCGCCTTAAGACGCTAAACCGAGATTGCCTTGTTATTCCAGACATAATCGCGGTATAGAAAGCGTCGAAATCTGGCCGGTTAAAGCGTGCTTATCAGGTCACGGATGCCGCGATGACACCTGACGGCTCGGAGGTCTCTGCCAAACACCCATACAGTCTTGGTGATTAAGAGCGAAACTACCACGGCACTCTCCAGTATGGTTCCGTCTCAGTTGTTCCCTTTGCCACCCGAGTATCCCCTAACCTGCGGCTCGCACCCAACCAACCTGCCTGCAAACCTCCTTTATTTGCCGCCCCCCTTACCATCCACCTGCCACCCCCAAACACTGCGCTTGCCTCTGCGTTCTTTCCCCTCTGCACCTGCCCTTTTCCCGAATTTTCCACGCTAGCCCTCACCATTCAACACTCCCCTCCTCGCCCTCACCCCTCTATGCTTCTCAGTTTAGCGGACGTTTCCCCCAAATCACCCTTTCCACCTCTCCAAGAGCCCTTTCCTCCCGCTGCGAACTCCCGGACCTCTTTACATCACCAATCAACCCTTCCGTCGCCCACCACCGCTGCGGCACCCTCCTTGCTCCCCTGACCCTAACCTCATGACCTAACGGAGCCATGCCATAACGGTGCATGCCAAGTACAGACTCCCTTTACACCAAGTGTGTCCCCTTTACATTCCCGAAGCTTTTGCACCGAACCAACCCCTCCACCCCCCAGCCTCCCATTCCATCCTTTGTCCGTCCCCCCGCCCCCTCCATCTCCACCACCCACTCGGCCCAGCCCCTTGGGCCCCTACCGCCCCTGAACCCTTACACGCCCCACATTCCATACTGCATTAATTTAGTCATAATCTCATTCTTCATAATCACACCCCATTTCCCCTTCCCATTCCCTACCATTCCTCCCCGAGTGGGGGAGTGCCCACCTCACCCACTCCCTTTACACTAAGTCCCTCCCCTTCACATTCCGAAACTTTTACCCCCTGCCCAAACCTTTTGCACCCAACCATCCCCTCTCCCCCCTACCCTCCTACCCCCCCCCCCACACACACACCCCACTTCCCCCCGTCTCCCCCCGCACACCACCCCCGCCCCGCCTTCCAGCCCCCAACGCCTCGCAGTGTCGGCGCGCGCGCGCGCCGCTTAGTATGCTGCGAGGCGTTAGACGCCGAGCGCAGCGAGGCTCTAGCCTCGTAGATACAGCCATACCCCACTGTACGACAAAAAAGTCTAGCCTCCCCGCGTGTCCCAGGGCTACGCGCGACCCCCCATGCAGCATCAAAGGACACCATAAGAGTCGACTAGAAGGATTTAACTTCATATACACTATTCGGGAAGGCCGGGAACTTGAGCTCGTTTCACTTTGATGAGCTCCCACCGACGCAAAAGTCATGCCCGCTGAAAATGAGAGTGCGCATAATTTAAAGCATGGAGTGAAGAAGCGATTGCAAGTGAAAGATGCATGGGGTTGTATCGAGAATTCGTGAGGAAACTAACCGCGAGCGAGTACCGTTCATAAGTCGTTGCGCTGAAAATAGGTACCCCCGAAATACCATGCCGGACCGTTTTTATTTTATAAAGTTAAAGAGCACTATGTCTACAATAAAGCTACCTTGCCAATAACGTCTGGAACGCTTTGTAGGGGCGGAGCGCTAATTGGCTCCCGACCCGTGCGACGTCTCGGAGCTTAAAGGAAAACGCCAATCTATTCTGTTAATATATATCTTGACTTGTAGCAAAACAAATCCGCATAGGCAGCGAGACCTTAACTGCGGCGTTGGCGATGCTCACTCTGACTGGTCGCCAAGCGCCTTAAGACGCTAAACCGAGATTGCCTTGTTATTCCAGACATAATCGCGGTATAGAAAGCGTCGAAATCTGGCCGGTTAAAGCGTGCTTATCAGGTCACGGATGCCGCGATGACACCTGACGGCTCGGAGGTCTCTGCCAAACACCCATACAGTCTTGGTGATTAAGAGCGAAACTACCACGGCACTCTCCAGTATGGTTCCGTCTCAGTTGTTCCCTTTGCCACCCGAGTATCCCCTAACCTGCGGCTCGCACCCAACCAACCTGCCTGCAAACCTCCTTTATTTGCCGCCCCCCTTACCATCCACCTGCCACCCCCAAACACTGCGCTTGCCTCTGCGTTCTTTCCCCTCTGCACCTGCCCTTTTCCCGAATTTTCCACGCTAGCCCTCACCATTCAACACTCCCCTCCTCGCCCTCACCCCTCTATGCTTCTCAGTTTAGCGGACGTTTCCCCCAAATCACCCTTTCCACCTCTCCAAGAGCCCTTTCCTCCCGCTGCGAACTCTCGGACCTCTTTACATCACCAATCAACCCTTCCGTCGCCCACCACCGCTGCGGCACCCTCCTTGCTCCCCTGACCCTAACCTCATGACCTAACGGAGCCATGCCATAACGGTGCATGCCAAGTACAGACTCCCTTTACACCAAGTGTGTCCCCTTTACATTCCCGAAGCTTTTGCGCCGAACCAACCCCTCCACCCCCCAGCCTCCCATTCCATCCTTTGTCCGTCCCCCCGCCCCCTCCATCTCCACCACCCACTCGGCCCAGCCCCTTGGGCCCCTACCGCCCCTGAACCCTTACACGCCCCACATTCCATACTGCATTAATTTAGTCATAATCTCATTCTTCATAATCACACCCCATTTCCCCTTCCCATTCCCTACCATTCCTCCCCGATCTTTGCCCACCTCACCCACTCCCTTTACACTAAGTCCCTCCCCTTAACATTCCGAAACTTTTACCCCCTGCC